CTGTCATTTCAGTCGTCATATAGAAATTTTACTGTAAATATTCCTACTCCATTTAAAAGATTATTTCTATAAATTTTTACCCCAATAAATTCACATATTTTTACAGATAGGTGTATGTAAAATATGAATAGTTAAGTATGATGAAGTGTACGTAACTGCTTATGACGGCCGTTTCTCCGACTTTTGATGAACACTTAAGTTCAGTTAGGTTCCATTTAATCAAATCTTACTTAAATTATTCTTTGCTATTTTTCTTTTAATTTTAATGTTTTCTTTTCTTTATGATCTTCATTTTTCTTTTTGTAGAGTGAATTGGGTATTCCGCCAAAATGCTTTCTTCAACTGTTTTCTTTGACGAGTAAGTATAAAAATAATCTTTGTAAACAGAATTAATAATTGATTATAATTTTTGATCATAATGTTTAAATGATATAATTCTTATAAGCATTAAAATCTCAAGGTCCATATGATTGATTCAGTAACATAGTGGATATGTATAGTTGCCAGTTGATAGCAGGCGAGGGCTCCAGGGTTTTGCAGTAGGATCAATATGTCCTGACCTTAGATTGCAACTTTTCCAATGTAAGTTAGATGTTTCAAGGGTCAACACTTTTCCAACATTAAATGCTTGAGCAGATTTTGAAAACAGTTCTTAATATATGTGAGGCTCTTGTACTCATGATAATGCAACGCTTGTTACGCTTGACTAGAATGTAATTTGTAACAGGTCTTGTAAAATGAAAGCTAATGACTTAATGGGACTACTTTGTATGCAAAAGACTAAAATGTAAAAAAGAAAAACTCAACAAAACAGGCAAAACAAATAGCACGAAAATGAATACGAAATCTGAAAGCTTAAAATATTTTGTGATACTGCTGTATAATTGAATTTTATGGTTTAAAGTGCGAAGAACATGATAGTTAATAAGTAAAGCTAACACACAAAACATTAAAAACGCTTCTTTGGGCGTAATACAAAATCAAAAGAAAGATTTCAGATTTTTTTTAATTTTAATTTTAAATTGTAGTTTTTCCCTCCAATGTTAAAAGATATTTAAAACTGTATAAGAATTTGTTTGACTTTGAATTGATATATAGGGGTACGCAGAAGTGGCCTGTAAAAACACACTACAGACGAGCATTTCGCAATTAAGGATCGTGTCAGTAGGCCTCGTTAGAGTAAGATTTCTAATGCCTGTCTACCAAAGGGTATCAATCTGAGTAGAGCAGTTTATCCTCGGTGTCGATTTGTGTATGCTTCTGCTGTCAGCGTCTGGAAGTCAGAAAAATAAAGAGTGTGCAGTAGTTTTTGACCAACAGTGCAACTGATACTGTTGTTACATTTCTACAAACATTTGACGATGCTGCTTTGGGTAAATAAGAAGTGACATCAACACGATAAGACCTACGTGTGAGTTTACACTAATAGCTAAACATTAACACTGATTACTTTCTGAACGGGATCTGTCGTTTCCTGGTAACTCTCGAAGTAGCTATTCTACATCATAGTAATCACTTGAGTCAGCAATTTTGTCCATATTTCTACAGCAGCTTGGGCTGCAAATATATAATTTCGCTTGCTTATTACACAAATTTTCATGAGCTACTGAATCCAGCGAATTATTATGGCACGAGAAATGAAAAGACAAACACCTTACAATTTAAATCTTAACTGTTAACAGAAATTAAAATACACTGTGCTGGCCACCCAAATTGCAACACCAAGAAAGACAAGAGATATCACAATCACAACAAAATTTATTTAGATAACATGTTGACCAAGTATCAAATGATTAAATTTATAAACTTCTGTGAAGTGTGGTTCCTTCCAGAATCAGTAGCCAGAGTAGCCGCCATTATTGGAGATCACCGCTGCCACACGCCCTCGGCATTGTTTCAAAGAGACTTTGGATGTGTACTTTGGGGATACAGCACACCAAGCAGCTTCCACACGTTTTCCAACGTTGATCTGGTGTGGCAGCTTGGGATGTAATCTGGGTCAATCGTTCAGCAACCATGGACCACATGCTTTCTATCGTCGAAAGATCCGGAGAGCGAGCCGGACAGGGAAGCAATTCAATCTGGCGATTGACGAAGAACCCTTGGACAATGCCTGCCACGTGTGGTTGCGCATTATCCTATTGACATATGGCCGCGGGTAAGCCCTGAAGGTAAGGAAGGACAACTGGCTCCAAAACCTCGGAGATGTAACTCTGGCTGTTTAAAGTACCGGCAAAGCGTATTAGAGAAGTGCGAGAATACAGTTCCATTCCATAATACCCGGTGCAGGGACTGGTGTGGCGGTGCATAACGCAGCTGTTCAGCATCCTCTCTCCACGGTGTCTCCAGACTCGAATCCGACCATTGTGGTGTTTGCAGACAGAAGCGTGACATGTCAGTAAATCAATTTCAATCATTCTGTCGTCCACACGCTTCTTTCGTCGCACCATTGACGCGGGGAGACATCTGTGGTTCTGCGTCAAAGGTAGACGAAGCAATGGACGTCTTGCGGACAGACCACTCTGCTGTAAACGGCGTCGAATGGTACGCACATACACTGGATGATGCGTTACAGACTGAATGCGCTGTGCTATGGTTGTTGATGTGACTGAGCGATCCGTCATTGCCATGCGCACAATGTTCCTGTCATCACATCACGTGAAGGGGTGCACTGAGGTGGATGCGATCGTTGATCGTATTTTGAAAAAAAAAAAAAAAAAAAAAAAAACCCAAGAAAAACACAATTGCCGAACTTGAAATCGTCGAAGACTCCAAGCCTTAAATAGCGCTTTAAGTGGCGCCACAGGCGCGCGTGATATGCATCTGCGCTGAAATTCTAATCATTTGCATATCTCACCTCCACTAATGCACGTTGTAAATTTCATGTTATTTGCATGCTTCCTTCAGAGTGTAGCATTTACGGTGGCCAGCAGTGTAGTTGTCGCATAATGAGTGCCTACTACTTCATTTCATTTTATGAAATGTAAATTTGTAATAAATGAATTACATTTAATATTAGCATGGTGTTTCTGCAATGAGTGAAAGAGGGGTAACAAAATCAGTTTTCTACTTTTCATGTATGACATATAAAATGAGTTTTTTTTTTCGGTTATTTTATAATTATAAAATCTTTGTAATATTGTTATTTTTGTGTTATATTGTATTGCTGTATATACTTCATTGTATAATTTCTACGTTCTAGTTTTGAGTGTGAAACTCTTTCTTATGAATAATTTCATTAACAGACCTTCTAATCACAACTTCAAAAGGCAATTAAATATGGAAAAAATAATAGTTTGCGTAGTATAGTATGTGATGGGAAGGAAATTTCAGCACAGTAAGTACGAAGAACATGGAAAACGAGAATTCATCTTAATCACGGATATTTACAAGAAGTACATCCTTTGTCAGAAAAGTTTCAGGACAAAGGTCGTAAAAAAATAGACCTTTGCACTTGCCAAGTAATGATCCTAGCCTCTATCAAAGTAGTCCCCTTGTCTATCTATGCACAACTGTCAACGCTTCTGAAGCTCTTGGAAGCAAGCAAGGAAATCTTCAACTGCGATGCTTGCTAGCTCATTTGTCACAGCCTATTGGATGTCTGCAATAATCTTGATGAAGCTTTCCTTTCTGTCACCTTTTCACTCACGGAAACAAGAAACAATCACAGTAATCTTTGACACAAATGTGCGATCACGTCTGGCTCTATCCAATAGTTCAGCAGAAATTCTTCGACTTTTTATTCTTTATTCTTCTGTTAGTGAGTGAGGGACATTCTTACATTAAGTTTCCGTTTCCGTATATCTTCGAGTAATCTTATCACACACATCACGATTCAAATTCAGTTCTGATACCGTACGTACACGACGGTCTGCTTACACGATAGTCTTCTTGCAATAACTGCCTTACACGCTCCACGTTTGCATCGGTATGTGCTATAGACGGACAACCAGTTCTAGGATCATCTTGCACTGAATCACGAAACCTTTTGTGCCACTCGGAAACACACAATTCGGATTCTTGAAAGTATCTCGCTTATATTTCTTGCTTAAATCATGTTCCACGTTTCACTAGGGGTTATCCGAGCTTAACACAGAACTTAATGTTCATTCTTTGCTCACAATCAGCATCCATTGCGTCACCTTAACGAATGCGACAACAATCAGACCAGTGTGCTGCTAAGCAAGCAGCTCTGTCCCCTAGTAAGATTGAGCGGAAACATGGCCAAGGTCTTATCAAGTACGAATACATACCAGATAACATAAAAACAATATTTGTTCCTTTTTAGTTCTGTAAACTCAGAAATAAAAAACATTTCCTGGAACGTTTCTGACAAAGGATGATTTCTAAAAAAACTTGATATTTACGAACCTTTCTCAGATGAAGGACAGTCAGATGCAGTATTTGCATCACAACGATGAAGAAGTGATTGGATGGATGAACACCTGATAAAGTGAGATGGATGAACAACACCTTAAAAGATGCATGACATACCATGTACTTCTGCAGTAGTGGTGCTAATTCTGGCAACAAGGTTTTCGAGAGTACCGAGTTGCATCTTGTAAACGGGATCCGTCGTTGTGTTGGAATGCATTTATTGCAGTTACTGGTCGTTCATTTGAACAGCTCTCTCAAATATCAAACACTATTTCGTCTCAATAACTATCATTAAAACAAATTTTATCTTCCATGCTCTTGCTTGCATTTGTTCTTGCTATGTTTCCACGTTCACATTTCACATTCCTCCATGCACTGCATTATAAAACATTTTACTTTGACATGTTCATCACTACCATTGACATCATAAACATTGACATCTTCTATCACTACCATCAATTCTATTATATCCTGTGCTTTATTCCTTATACATCTACTTCTTCATAGTTATCTTATACATGCCCTCTAGGTGTGTCATGTGACTATTGATTATCCAAATGAAAGACAATTCGCGTCAAATTCTTAAATTTTACATATTTTGATCGGTAAAAATGGAATCATCTTTTTTCTTTCAGCTGTTCTTCTGCTACAACCAGCATGGAGTGCTTTAACTCGCGACGAATTTCTTACGCAAATTAAACCTATATGCTACGAAAGGGAAAAAGAGAGAGTATTAGTTAATGGTCAAACGATGCCTCTTGCGAGCACCCTGGAGAACTTTATCGCTCTTGTGGAAAAGCTCGAAGCAGCTAACCCTAATATAGGTCTCAAGCAAGAGTTATTTTATCTCCTTCGAAGGTAAGTACTTTTACTAATTTTTAAGCATTTACCTATAAAACGTTTTGTTAGCTAAATTTATCTTGTGAAGTAAAATTGCTTAAAAAATACACTTACCAACTTCGGAGTTTGGAGTTAAGTTACAGATGTCAAGAGTATTGGTATGAAGCATTGTAAGATATTTTTACAAAGGATTACACCTATGGTTATTTATAATTTTTTTAAAATATTTAATATACATATGATGATATAATTTAGTTCCCTGCAGTAATTTGAGATTGTTTGACTAGGGAAGACCTTATTTTGCAGTCGCGAGGGGATTGTGGTTAGAAGATCACTGAAAATATCAATTACGTAGTGGAAGATCCGAAGAAAACTTTTGAAGAATTACATAATCACTTGATAATCCAAATATCTCTTTATTACTTGTTGATTGTCCTATGGCATGGCACATCACAACGGGGCCCCTTTGCACCCCACAGTTTTGATGATGACGCTTTTTTTTTTTTTTTTTTAACAGAAACAGTCAAGCAAGAGACGTTCTTTACCTAGCAAGCGTACGCAGAGAAAGAGGTAGGGTAGTCACAGATCACGGGACACTATTCGTGTAAAAGGCGTGCGGCTTGTTGAGGCCTTTAACAGTCTATATTTCTTAAGTTCCTAATGGCATAAAGATGAGGAAAAAAACTCCCGAACAAGAGGAAAGTCTTAAAGCACTGGGTGCGGATCTCATAAGATAAAGACGTAAGACGCCATCTGCTGACTACAATAATCTTCAGTAATAGAGTATCTTTGGAGTGACGTTCATGTGAAAACCATCTGATACTATGGGATAAAGCAATGGCATAACTTTGAAGAAGTATATTTTCCTTGAGATAGTTTCTTGAGACAAATTCTATTTGGCATAAATACAGTGAAGAGCATAAAAATAAGTTGCAAAAAAAAGAGAACAGTTTTGTACTGGTATATGTGCGTAAACAAATCTAACAGGTCTCTAACCGGTCATGGAAAGTTCCCATTTGTTTGTCTTATCCACTACGACACAGAGCTAGAGCTATCGCATACAGAATATAATACAATATGTACAAATACAGTCTACAAAACCTGCTATATGAGGTACAAAAAATCTTCTTTGCAAGGTACGAAATAAAAACTTGGTTAAAAAATAGGAAATAAAATAAAACTTATTTAAATGAAGTAAATGAAAAAATATTAAATAATATAAAGAAGCCCTACTATTTATAATTATGAGGGATAATGCAAGATCTTTTATGATGCTCTATGACGTAGTCATAATTGCCTAATTTCTTAATGATTTCCTTGTTGTGTTGATCACATTTGAGGAAAGTTTTATGGGTAGGGTAGTTGGATTGCCATGGTATTTATAGTAAAATATTTCGTTGACCTGATTGGCTAACATATAGGCAGTGCGAAAGCTTAAGATGACATAATAAGGAATCAGTTTTCAAATATGACGCAGTTTCGAGAAATTTATAACTAGAGAAGAAGTAGTCAATTAAAAATGAGGAACTAAGAAACTATTGCTAAATTAAACTATAAAGTTGATTTACATATTTTTTGTCTTACACACACACACACACACACACACATATATATATATATATATATATATATATATATAAGCCAGAAATTAATTAATTCTATTCACTAGTATTTTCAAAAAAAATCTTAACAGACAGTCTCACTCAAATAATAACTCCACATAATACATCCCTCAAGAATTCCGAGTCCCACCCACTACCATAAATTACTTCACCCAAGTTTTTTACCGACTGATATTATTCAAAGCCCCCACTGCCGATAAGAATTTTTCGGACACCCCTACACTTATGAGTCAGACACGAAGAGAACACTTTGCCAACTCCCCCACTAGAAAGAATGTAAGTTACTTAATACCTTTTCTGGTCTTTATATCTTCATGTACATTCACTGTTCTTATTATATATTATTTTTTTATTTTTTTTTTTACATAATTTTTATATTGTCTTTGATTTGTTTCTTCTACAAAGTTTTGCATTATTTATCTTATTTGTAATCTTCTTCTATGTTTATTTCAACTTTACTTTAAATTCGATTTCATAATGACAATTTCCAATGTTTAACTTTTGCAAATAATATAGAACTCAAATGCATAAACATGAAGGTGTCGGGGACGGTTACTCTTACTCGGGTTATTTAGGATTTCTCTACAGAAATTGCTTTTCACTCCAAATTGAATTGACTAAAATGCTTCATAAGAATAAGTTCTTTGAGTATTAGCATTGGTTCATAATCCCTTCTATTCGCGGAAATATTTGACCTGACTAGAATTGCCGATTTGGGTTTAACTTATAACTCGAGTAAAGACGAAACACCTTCGTATTTACGTATTTTTATCAATTATTGTTCATTGAACGGGAGTTGGTTTGTTCCCCTTGAAAAGTCAACTAATTTCCGATCAATGACAATGATTACATGTTTTTTAATTTTTCCTTTTACAATTGAAATTTTATTCTTCATGATGATTTAACTCCAGTCCCCGTTAAAACATTATTAACATTTTGCTTTCAAATTACTTCAAACTTCATCTTTCAAAATTTCAAAATATAAAACTTACCAGTATGGATTCACTCTTTTAAAATAATTCTACTTTAATTAAACTTAGGAGATAATATAATCAATTAATCAATATTGTTTAGGAAATAAATATTATTAACTAACTTTGCAGCAATTGCGCAAGTAGTAGTAACTTGTTTTCGCACTAAATGAATTTAAGATCATACAACATTTTTATATATATATATATATATATATATATATATATATACTTAGTTTATTATGTATATATATATCACAAATTTTTATTTTAAAACAAAATACGTGTCTTCGTGGACTTGGTTATAAAACTTCTCACTTTTTGTCTACATATGTATATACAGGATTGTTCGGAAAATAGTAGGAATGTTTTTTCCCACCAAACGTAGCGAGAGAGGAGGATGTTACTGCTCTGGTTGGGTTGTAGATGATCATAGTTACCAGCGCACCGGTCGCCAGTCGTCTCCAAGCCTTTATGGAGTGTAGATTGAGTTTAAGCCTTCATGGAGTGTAGATTGAGTTTAAGGCACCTCTTTCAAGGTGTCTTGTCATCTCCACAATCAGTCGTTTGTTAGAGCAGCGTTACGCAGTCAAATTTTGCATCAAACTGCGAGTCAGATCCAGGACATTGTCAAGACTGCTTGTGGTGATCAATTCAATGTTTTTGAGTGGCACCAATTGTTTCGGAACGGAAGAGAGCAAATTGAAGATGAGCAACGATCAGAACGCCCTTCAACGGCAAAAAGTGACCAAAACTTAGTAAAAGTGCGACATCTTTTGAACTCAGCGTCTCAAACTCAGAAAACGAGTCGCCCTCGTCCGTCCAGAAGTCGCTGGACCATGGAGACTCCATCACGGCAATGCTCCGAGCCAAATTGCCTTTGCTGTCATGGACTTCCTGACCAAACATGGCATCACAGAATTCCCAGTTCCCCAGCTTTATTTACATCCTTTCCAGCCCATAGCCCAGATGTCGCTCTTTCAGATTTATTTCTCTTTCCACGACTGAAAACGATCATGAAAGGGAAGCACCACGACTCGGTGCAGGCCATTCAAGAGGTCGTAACGAGAGATCCGAAGAGCATTCCAGTTTCTGCGTTCCAGGGAACCTTCTGTGATTCGTAGACTCTCTGGAAATGCTGCGTTGTTGCATGTTTGGAAAACTATTAAGTCGATATGTCAAAAGTGTGAATATTTTTTTTAATTCAGTCCTACTACTTTTCGAACTGTATATATATAATTTCCAGTCAATGAAACGATAATTACTTAGTTTGTTGGTTGCATTTTTGCTTTTAATTACTCCTTTTTAATAATTACATTTTAGATATTCTAATGAGTAAATTCATTTCAGTAGAATTTTAAACACTTTTTTAAATAAAATAGTATACTAGAAAATAAATTATTATTTTATTACTTTGCAGCTTTAGCTCAAGTATTACGCAATTACAAATAATTACCTTATTTACTTAAATCTTATATATATTTTACATAATAAACAAAACATGCAACTGGTGACAAAGCTTTGTTAGGTTTAAGTAGATGTAAATTAAGTTTTTTAACATACTTCATAAATGTTTTATGTGGCCATCTTGCTGTCGTGAGATATGTCTATATTTCACGGTTTATTCTTCACGATTTAAAATTTATTTGGAAAAATAACTTATGCCACAGATGAATGCAAACTATGATGCTTGCCTCTCTTCTGTTTCCGGCATTTTTTCAGAAAGACTATTATCGAAACCATCTGCAAAGTAACTTCAATTAAAATTTGCCACAAATTTCGATAGTAAGAACAGAATGAAAACAGATCGCATTAAAATTATGGCATTTGAACTTAATACCAAGTGGTTTTCTTTTGTAGAGTTTTGATAAGTAGACTATGCCTCAATTCCTAATACATCCCTTATTTTCGTAAATTTATCATACCTGCTGTAGCAGGTGGTCTGTGGCATGTTAGTCGGAACAGATTATTCAGAGCTGTCTTCCATTTTAACAAATGCTGAAAATACGTAAAAAAACGTAGTGAGTTTTCTTGTATTTCGAAGGAATAAAACTTGGTTTTAATTGTATATTTTATTTGTTATGAATTTCGATCATAATACATAGCATTGTTTATTTGTTACACCTCAGATTCTTTAATATCATGTACTTATTTTCTTTAATATTATGAGTACTTAAGTTACCTAATGTTTACTATAAGTTATATAGGTTAGTCTCATCACACTTCAATCTAGAGAAAACCCAAAAGATCACAGGGCTCACCGAGCTGTCGTGGCTGGAAACAACTGATCTCCTGTGAACCCCTAGACTCTCAATCAAGACTTTGGACATTTATTAAAATTTCGAAAATCTATACAAAAATGTACATAACATTTCAACAGGTGGTGCCATCGCCCTTACATGCTTTGGATACATATCCAGTTTTGACTTGGTGGTACAATTTGGTCTTGGTGGTAGCAATACATATATATTCAGTATAATACAATTGATACAATTATACAATACAATTTTGACTTGTTATTAATAGATGGTATAGGTTTGAGAATTTAAATTAATTAGTACAGTACTTAAATGAATAGTACAATTTAGTGTTTCACTAATTCCAATATATAATGCAATGTATAATTCAATTTAGTTTAGTATAATAATTCAATACATATATCCAAATATAACACTGTTTATATATTCAATACATCAATGATAAATAGTTCATTGATCCTAATAGTTTATTATTGTAATAGTTCATAAAAGTTGAAAGTAATACATGGGCATACATTTCACAAATAGTTCATTGGTATATAGTTCGTAAATAATTTGTATATAATTCATAATATTACATTTATAGGATATCTGTAAATAATTCTTAGTAGTTCATAATAGGTTACTGGCAAAATTATTGGTGTTATAAACAACAAGAATAATTAGTCCAAAGGGATTTGAATCCCGAAGGACTATTAGTTTCGTTTTGGCATTTTGCGTCGGACTCATAAATGTCGGTTCACTTTTCAAACTGTTGCCACAAAATGTTAGAGTCCTGCATTATATTTGAAGAAATTAAATAATGAAAAATCTGCATAAATGTATGTATATTTCTCGTATTGTGATAAAACAAAACGGTACATAGAGTCATCGAATTTTGAATACGTAATCCTCCAACGAATATGAGCATGTGGAAGACCAAATTTGAAATTTGTTTTATGATCGATTTCCTATTTTTTAAAACTTTGACGAATTTTTGATTAACAAACTCAAGGATTTCAAAGCGAGCAATGGCAACGTTGTGCAGAAAAAAAACATTTTTATCTCCAGCGCGTGAGTCTCTGTATCGGAAATTCTAAAGATATGCTCGTTTTAAAAACTATTTTGCGATATTGCTGTTGCAACTGGATCTTATGGTTTAAGTGCGAGGAACATGATATTTAATAAAGAAAGGTAACACACAAAATGTTAAAAAACGCCCCTTTGGACGTAATTTAAAATCTGAAACATTTCAGTTTTTTTTTTTTTTTATAATAGTTCACTGGCATTTAGTTCTTATAAATTTGTTTATAAATAGTTCTTTACAGTCAATAATAAATAAGTCCATAAATTAGGTAAACAGTTCCCAATTGTTAGTATTTTGTATATTTCATGTCTATTCAGCAGGATTATTAAATAAGTTAGGCTCTAGGAATGGTTCTATATTAATAGTTGGTATTTGCAATAGTTCATAATAGTTCAATGTCAGTTATCATAATCACTTACTTACTTAAGACTTTGATTTTCATTGTTTTAAAGTAATTAATGATCATTCCATCTGTTTCCAGCTATTTTCATGAAAATGTCGAATATAAGAAAGGTGCCGGAGCTAGTCAATGGGAGCCTCCAGACTCTAATTTTGACAAGATAGAAATTTTGTGGGAAAGAAATGACGAAGAAAGGCAGAAGAAACCAGAGAGACTAGTAGAGCCATATTCTGAGGATGAAAAGTGTAGTTTGTTCTTCATGATTTCTCATTCAGTCGAGCGTTATAATAGATTTAACGCTAGATTCTTTTCACCTGGAAACGGCAGGTATGCCCGTGTGTTTTAATTAAATGCAGCGTCCTCTAAAATTGTACGAAAATAATTAAACGTTACTAGTTCTCTTTAGAATCTATTACAATCTAATCATTTCTGTCAGCAACGTAAAGTCTGTTATCTGTTATTGTCAACGTCAACGCACTAGGCTATGCCAGACAGTTTTTCTAAATTAAAGAAAGTGTTATAGGATAAGAGACATTATAGCAAGGTACTAAAATAAAGAAAAGTGAAAGGTACGAAATATACAAAATCTAAGAGATATACATTATAAGTAGTGATTGCAATACAGTACCTAAAATACATTATCGGTGCTTTTTTAAACGTTATATACTGAAATACCAGGTCTATAACTTTTTCAAAAAAGGTACAAAAACACAAATGTTTCTTTGCCGTATTTACAAGTTTTAAACAAAAAATGCATAAACTGTAAAAATTATAATAACAAATTTGTTATGTACAAGTATAAAATAAGAATGCAAATGTTATAATCAAATATTATTAATAAGAGGAGTAAAATAATAGTTTATAACATTAGAAAAAACAATGTAATATAAAAAATAAAGCATTGCAAATACAATATTATTGTTATTAATACTGTTTCGAATTTGATATGTTATTTTAGTAGAATTATAAGTAAAATTGTTGTATTTCTTTCCTTTCGTAACATGAAAAATCTAAAGAGAAGCTATGCTGGAAAAGTAAAAATATAAGGACAAGTGCATTTAACATTGAGTAAATGGGTATTTTGGTAATTTGCGAGAAATCGCCAAAAGTCGCCAAACGGCGACCATTTGGCGGCATTATAGTTTGGTCCCTGCATCACCGTAATATGCATTGAAATTGAATAAATGTAGTTGAGCGTTATGTTAGCTGTAATAGTAGTTCAACCCTTCTATTGCTTTCCAGTAATTTCGAGAAGAAGAAAGTTCTAGAAATATCTCGTAGTCTGTTGAAAACTATTTAAGAGAAGAGCATCTACTTGTTGCTTAGTTATTGTTGTGCGAGTCGTTATTTCCGCGTGAAATGAGATATATCCGAGTTAGCTTTCTCTTTAGATGCGTTATGTTTAACGTTTTTTGTAGTTGAAGCGTAAGTACTGATTGCACTGTGGGATACTGTGACACCTATAAGAGAATATCGGCAGAAAATTACAGAACTGTGAAGTGTTTATTTTGATATAAATAAATTATTAACCTCTCATTGGACCTCTGTGCCTTCAGTCTAATATGAACCCGTAGGTACGCAACAGTACTATTATTAAGAATAGCATATATCACATAAATATCTTGTCGTGTAATCTATTATATAATGTCTGCTAACAGAAAAAAACAACTTATCTGTTAACAGCATATTTTTTAAATGTGATCGTAAAAAGCATAATGCATATACTGAATTTTCGTTAAGCCTAGAACGTATTTTTGTGCACAAATTATCTACAGTTGAAAATGCTTTTTCTGCATCCACGCAAGGTCCTGGTACTGTTAGTAAGGAACGACACACTTGTCACGCTTGTCGCTTGTCACTGACTCTGTGAGGCATAAATGTGGGAAATGTGGTATGCTTTTTGTGTATATTACTTATTTTGAAAGTCTTGGAAGTGGATGTTATGTGTATATTACTTATTTTGAAAGTCTTGGAAGTGGATGTTATGTGTATATTACTTATTTTTAGATTAAATACATCCAAATTAAGTGGATAGATTTCTAAAAAAAGAAGGATGGTACTGAAGAATCCAATTCTGAAAATTAACAAAAGTTAGGGATAAGTAAGAAATCAAAATCGCGGCCTACTGGCATATAAAATGAAAGTTATTTAAGCTTTGGTTTACCTTGGACGAGAGTAACGATAATGCTTTTTGGCTGCGTTTAATATGCAAATGGTAAAATTATAAGGTACTTCTCGTACTTTCCTAGCATTTGGCGATTGGGTTCCCTAAAAACACCAGTCGCCCTTTAAAAATGGGAATATATAAGGTATTTCTCCCACTTTCCTAGCGTGCCTTCGTGGTGTAGTGGTTCTGCACGCTGGGCCTGTATTCCAGAGGTCCCTGGTTCGATTCCCGGCGAAGGCAGGTTGCTAATTTTCCATCTCTCCAGCCACCAAAAAAGTCCTACTGTCTCTACAAAATTAATTATTAATTCCCAGTAAATTCAGTAAACATTTTTTAAAATATACGCTTTAATTTACATGATAAATCTGTAAGTCTTTTCAAGAGATTGTCTCAACGATAGACAAAAGCGGCTTAACTTTTCTAAAAGTATTAATGACTATTTCTAATGAAACTCGGATTGTTTCTTATCAAGTATCAGAAATGATTGCAAAAAATATGAAAATTCATACTTTAGCTGAGTCACTTACGTTGACTGCAGGCGATAAAATTTCTTCCCTATTTTTTGTATTAAAAGTGCGCATTATACCCGCAATATACGGTATATGAAATTTCAGTTTTCTGGATAATTTATTTTTCTTCCTAAGTAAAATAAAACTAGTTTTGTTATTAATTTAGTGTTTTTGTTGATTTAAATAATATTTAAAGGTATTCCTACGGAGTAATTATTTTTATATTACACTCATGTCCATAAATTAAGGATAATTCGGAGTCACGCAGAAATCGAACTCTAAAATAAATATATCACCTGTAAAATCATTACACACATCTTCAAGAATCATATGCAAATTTCAGGAAGTAACCAGATGACACCGATGGTACGTCACAATGACGAGAGTGTAAGAGAGAATAATAATAAGGAATACAGGCAAAGAAGTAAAATTGTTCGCAGACGCTTTATAAGCATTTCAGTGCAATAACCGAATAGTTATGACACAAAGGATGCATTTGGATGATTTTTTACGTGGCAGAATTATCGGCCGTCTGGAATGTGGGCGTACCCAACTGGAAGTATCAGACGAACTTGGAATTGCCCAGAGTGTCATCTCCAGGCTTTGGCAACCATTCCAAGATGATGCTAATGTGAGTAGACGTTACAGCACAGGTCGCCCCAGAGTTACAACGCCGAATGAGGACCGGTATTTGGCAGTTACTGCCAAAAGAAACAGGCGGAGCACAGCCTCAGACCTGTCTCGTCAGCTCTCTTTCAGCCACTGGTACGACAATTTCAAGGCAGACCGTGCACAGACGCTTAGGGCAGATTAGTCTATATGCTTTTAGAACTGTCAGATGCGTTCCACTTACTGCAACTCACTGTCGCCTGCGATTAGCCTAGAGTAGAGACCATGCATTGTCGACACCGCAACAGTGGGCTTGTGTGATGTTTTCCGACAAAGTCCAGGTTTAGCTTGCAGTCTGATTCTCGCCGGACTTTCATATGGAGAGCTCCAGGTACCCGTTACCACCAAGAAAACATCATTGAACGACACCGTTACGGTGGTGCAGGAGTGCTCGTTTGGGGTGGAATTATTCTGGGTTCCAGAACTGACCTGCATGTTGAAATTGGAACCATGACAAGCCAAATCTATCCGGACGTCATTCTGGAACAACATGTGCGTTTGTTTCGGGGCGCCGTGGGCGCACAATTTGTGTTTATGAATGACAACGCCCGTCCTCACCGTGCAAACATCGTAAGCGAATGCCTTCAATCGGAGGATATCACCCGTATGGACTGGCCAGCATTCTCACCGGATTTGAATCCAATAGAGCACGTGGGGGATATGCTTGGCCGATGAGTTGCAGCTCGTCAACCTCCTCCTACATGTCTACCGGAACTTCGGAGAGCATTGCTTTTTGAGTGATGTAATATCAGCCAAGATCAGATCGATAATTTGATACTCAGCATGCCTAGGCGTTGTACGGAATGTATTGCGTCGTCTGGGAGACATACAATGTATTTAGAATCATACCAACCATGTAATATTGGTTTTTGTAAATAGATTGTTATTTGTAATTTGCTCCAGGGAGAAAAATCGCTATTTTTTTAATAATATCAAACATATAGCATCTTTTTTTTTTGCTCTTTACCTTTTGTTTAATAAATAAGCTTTACAAATAAGTCAAATTTGTTTTGCTTCTAACTCTTCCTTTGCTTGATTTTGCATTATCCTTAATTTATGGACATGAGTGTAATTTATAACTGGCCTCTAGTCTTTCATATTTATTTATAGGCAAGTATGTAGCATATAAACCTTAATGAAAACGTAGTTGACTCTAACTAGTACTGATATTTGAGCTCTGATGTATTTTCAATGAATTGTTTTAAACTAAACTGGTTTGCTTCATTTAATTAAAGTACTTTTCAGTGACACATTTTCATGTTTTTGAAAGACATACTTTTAATATTACTTTCAGTGAAATCCCAAGAAATGTCGCTGAACATGACGAGTTATATCCTCAGGAACAAGGAGTTGTCGCTATTCGTGGTTCAAAAGAAGCTGTAGCTCTCGGAAGAGTATTAAGAGCCATGTACGTTGGTCTCAAGAGTGAATCTGAAAGGAAATTCTTTCTCGATGACTATTTAAACCTTGCTAATATCGCCGCTGAGGATCTTCCTGACCGTGAAAAGAGAACAGTAGATCCTCTTTACATCCTAACAATCTCAGGTAATAAAAAATTTATAAAACTCAAGACATAATAGCGCTTTTTAAACCCTTGCCATACATTGAATTTTAGAAAGACTAAAATTTTCAGAAATTGATCTCAGGTTGATAGTTTCAGTAATAAAGCAAATATAGCAGGTAATCAACTACGATAATTTTAATCACAAGGCACGTTTTAGTTACACTTCTCTCGCTTATGAAAACACCTAAAAAGAACAGTTTAATACTTTTAAATTTAAAAACTAATAACATGTAATAAAACATCAAAACGGAAAGCAATCCCAAAAAGAACTATTCTTTAATCTACTGACAAATTCAAATCCTTATTTTTACTATTTTGCACATTGTTACATAATAATGCATAACATATTATGATCGAATATTTGGCTAATGTTAAGCAAGCTCTAAGTTAAAAACAATGGGGCGAAATGGAAAATCAATTTCGTAAATTTTAAAAAAAAAATTAAATACAATCATAATATATCTTGTAGGATATTTTGCTTGTTTGTTTGAAGAAACGATATACATGACAGACTTCCTTCATATGCATGCCTTTTTTGTAACTTCATTTTTCTTTTTTGTGTAAACTTAATTTTTTGTAAAGTTGACTCGGTTCAAGATCAATCTAAGAAGGAATTGTGTCTAATTTTAAAATAGAAATCAACATCTTTAGCTCCTATTCTATTAATATTACTTCATAGTTTTGCCTTTCAGCTTTCTGTCATCATAATTACAGTTTTTGTATATTTCACCTGTTGTGACATATAAATCTTGTAAATACAATTTACGGTCTACCTTGTAACCTCACTAAACATTATGCAAAATGTATCTAAAGGACTACTTTTGCGAGATGCCCGAACAGAAACGTCTTTAGTGACCCTGACTGCCGTACCAAAGGACACGGTTCCCGAGAGCGTAATGGCAGACCGCACATTGAGTTGAATAATGTTAAGCAAATTTCGCTTACTGCGCATGCTTGATGGTGTACCTTTGGCGCGGGGAGAAATATTGGCGACTAAGCAACCCTACGCTAGCTTATTCGTGATCACCATGGCTGTCGAGTGTGTTCGAATGATGTTTACAACTGTAATGTTGTGGAGCTTTGCTTATTAGTTATTTTAACGTCCATACCGATTGCACTTGCTTATTTTTCTAATATATATTTCATTAAATTTGTCAATAACAGTGCATTTAATATTTGTTAACATATGTTCGTAATAATTCGTTATTTAAATGTAATTGTTTACATGTTATAATTCAGTAATTGTAAACTGGAGTATCTCGCTTAGTTTGTTAGCGTATATTCGCGCTTTTATTTTCTCATTCAAAGAATTTAATAAACTAGCATTAAGGAATTGTAAAATTTCTTCAGTGTTATTTGCAAGCACTTGTTCTACATTCCTCAGTGTTTCTTTATGTATGTATGTACGTACGAATGGAACGTATGTGGTAAATCCTGAATTGTTTTGTTATTGCTTAAAAGTATAATGAATAAATTTTTCAACTAATAATAGCCTAAATTTCAGTCTTTTTCTGAACGAAAATTTGTACACAGTTCCAAAGGAATGTGCAGAATTTCATAGGTATTGTATTTTACATTTTGAATGCAAACACTGCTTCACATTACTTCGCAATAATTTCAGCTTTCTAGTTGTTTGAGCAGTACAGCAAAAAATAGTATTTTAACACAGTAATTAATTTACATTTACATTATACTCTACGAAGACTTAACGCTAGATTTGTTTACAATCAGATGGCGTAACATCTACCATATACCGTATTTATCTTCTTTTCAAATCGCGCCAACACAGTAATTACGCCAAATTGCTTTCTGGGCATGCGCAGTATGCGACATTCGTTTAACACTGTTCAACTCAATGTGCGGTCTGCCATTACGCTTCCCGGGAAAAGCATGGATTTAAATTTTCTGTCCGATCATTGGAAGCAACGGTGGTAAACCTCGTATCGGCCAACGCCTATAATGGCTAATGTCGCCATTAGGGGGCATTTTTTAAGTTGATTTTTCACTTTTTGACTGTAAATTAAATTTGTGCAGAACCCATAACAACAATATTTTCTGCATTTTGTGAGTATAAAAAATCAACAGAAGTTTTAATGTGGTTTTGTTCGTCATTAGCGCCTTGTTGTACTACATTCTTTATTGGTGCGCCTGATGTTTTGTTACTTCATTTTCATTTAAAACCGCATCAACGAGGACGTTTGGTGAAGTTAAGAAACACATTTATAAACTTAATAATTTCTACGCAGATAGTATACATAGCATACCTTGTACTATATATGCCATCTACAAGAAAATGTATAGAAGCGCAGTGTGTGATTTTGTTGGTTTTTCATTTCGGAAAGTGTTAATACCGAGCGCCTGTCAATAATTATCCATTTTTCACCGTATTGGCAGATATTTATAGCAAATATACTTGACGCTCTGTGCAACAATTCTATTGAAATACTCAGCAAATTTTTATCTGGAAAAATTCGTCTTTCCAAGAAAATGCTAGAAGAACTTAAATCAGTATTAAAACAACACAGAACAGCCGGTAAAAACTAATTCGTATGTTATTAAAAAAGCAATTAAAGATCCAATCATCAATACAGAGATACCAGAGAAAACAGTTAAAGACTCGTCAATAAATACAGAAGTCCTGAAGTACCAGAGATAACAGTTAAAGACACATGAATCAATACAGACAATTCAGGAAACCTAGAGAAAAATGTCAAAAATCCTTCAATAAATACAGACCAACCTGAAAATCCAGTAAAAAGACCTCACAAGTTATCATTCACTTCCTAAACGCACCCACGCTCAAGCAGCGTGCTCTGGCGAAAAACACACGCTACTAATTTATCCAAAAGAAAACAATCATTACAAACAGTACAGTTTTAAAGGAACGATTAAGTGAAGAATTCCCACTACCATCGTAGGGGTAAAAATCCATTCAGTAAGACATATACAATAAAGAAGACCTGCAGTAGATTGCCAAACCAGAGAGGATCTAAATTAATCTGTCAAAACCCTCTAAAGTTATAAGGGCCGAAACCAAATCCCCCATAGTTAGATTGCCAAAGCTATACACAGCATATCGCTATCTGCTCAGGCATAAGAAATAGAAACAGCCTTGACATTAGAATATGGTATTACAGAAACTACAGCGAAAGTCCTATATCATCTAAAGGACGGAAGCAATGTTAAATGGACTGTCGGACTGCCAATCAGCAGTATATATCATACCATTACGCAGTTCCCACGCATTTACGTCGGATGGCGCTCATATAGAGTAGCAAAGTTCTATAATTCCGCTTTCAAGAGTTAGGATATACACAGCAAAACTGCAGAAACAGTTCCTGTTGCGCCTTTTACTCAGGGCTGCACAACATGAAAGACTGCGTCTGCATCAACCGCAGCATTCATCAACTGCAAAGACTTTAATTATCAAACAAACAGTAGAACAACTTGCAACCATCCTGCCTAACACCCCTCGTGTTCTACATATGGAAGATACGTTGAATACTTTCGACGCAACACGATCTATGAATAATCATCAAGAAGACATCAATATATTACATGCACGCCTATTAGCAGTTATCTAATAGATCGCTCACTGATTATTGCTCATAACAACGGCATAGCTACTGAAGTCCAAGAAAGAGGCTGCCCACAGGGTTCCAGTGTGAACCTTCTCAGTATTGGAAGTTAATTGAGAAAATTTCTCCACCATATTATCCCATGCCAACAATGCGGCCCTCCTAGTGAAAGGACGAACTCAAGGTGAATTACAAAAACATGGTACTATTTTCACTTCATAGACACGGCGTCACTAAAACCGAGCTCTGTGTCTGTGGAGAAATCGGTACCCCAGACCATTACTTTAGCTCTGCCCAATTGCCAGCGAACGCCAGCTTAAACTTCCCAATGAAAACACACAAGCGTTAAGCAAGTTTATGGTAGAACAACGTCATCAGTGGCAAGGATAGTCCAAATTATCGACAAGCTCTCTAAACTCGGAGCTGACCTATGACTCGTTATATATATTTTTTAAATTTTATTTAATATTTTTGGGAGGTTAATAGGAACAGTGCTTAGACTAAGAATTTCATATTCCCTCAGTTTGTTTATATTACTACTGTATTAGGAGGTCGCGTAGTCGTGGGATAAGGGGCTAACCTGCATCTACATATTCAAGAATTACAGCTCAAATCAAGCATAATTACCAGAACTGCACGAAACTTTCAAGGAAGTAACTGGAGACAAAATCCATATCAACAAACGTTATTATACTCTACAGTTAGTAGAAAAATAATATTGTATGTTTTTGCAGCCATTTGGAATGCAACTAGGTGGACCAAGGAAAATCAAATACCCACTTCTTCCTTAGCGCCCTTTCGCCTTAAACCTGTGCAGGGCATATAAAACCAAGCAACGAATGCTTGTCTTGTGCGTCTGATCCATATCCACATTCGTGCAGAACAAGAGGGTGTTTACACCAAAGTTGTTCAATTACGAAGGGACGCCACTTTCGAAGACACCTTACACAGTTTAGGTATTTATGGCCAAAGAAATATACTTCAAATTCATCCAGGGATCAAAGTGTAGGCGTGCATGCCAAAACTGATGAAAATCGGAGTCTTTCCATCTCACAAGTGCCACACACTCTTGTCTATACGGATGGCTCAATAACTAGTGAGGGTGTCGGAAGTGCATTCGTAGAGTTTGAAGATCAGAAGCAAATAAATAACTGAAAAGCACATTTGGTTTATTATAACAAGCGGTTTTCGAGGAAACGCGCTTCGATATGGGAAGATATACAGCATGTAATAGACTCGAATAAATACAATTTAACTGTATACATCGACAGCATGTTCGTACTTTTAGCCATCTCTGATCACCAGCATACTTCGCCATTCATCATTAACATTCTGCAACTTTTAAGAAACAATAGACATAAACATATAAACATAAAATAGGCGAAAGAACACACAAGCATAAAAGATAATGAAATAGCAGACGAACTAGCCAAAGAGGCAGCTGACAATAAAACTGATAAGAAGCGATTACACTCACTTTATCCAGCTCCTTCTCCTCACTTAAAATATACCCTCTTAGAAAACTCAGTACAAATATATCAAAATGAATCAGATCCCACAGAGCTAAAAGAAGACAGCCGTGTGACTTTTATACCAAAAATTTCAATTGAATGTCTTACAAGCATTCCATAACTAATACAATTTATAACAGGTCATGGTTCATTTCCTGCTTACTTTCTTCAGTATCTGGAGAAACTCAGAAACGAGTCGTTGTTCATTTCCTGTATGATTTTTAGGTTCAATATCTCATGAACTAACATAATTTATAATAGATCATGGTTCATTCCCTGCATACTCGTTTAAGTTCAATACCTGAGAAACTCAAAAACAAGTCGTTTTTCATTTCCTGTATGATTCTTTAGACTCAATATCTCATGAATTAAAATAATTTATAACACATCATGGTTCATTTCTTGCATACGCCCTTAGGTCCAATATCTCGGAAATAAACATCTGCGTCTATGAAGTTGAAGGTTTCCCAGAACATTAAATCTTCACCTGCCCATTGACATACTCGAATAATCTACGTCGACAAACCAACTACGATATCGCATACAAATAATAATAATAAATTATTGTGTGCCTATTAATAAAATTTTTAAACATTTTTCTATGAGAGGCAAAGGAAAAATTGACTCTAATCATTGTGAAGTGTCAAGTATGCATCTAAGCCACACCGAGCAGTGTAGGGATTATTCGCGCAGACTCGAAAAATTTGTGGTAGATTCCAGATTGTCGATGCCGTTCGTTGAGGGGAGTACTGTTTAAAACCATTCGAAATCGTTCGTTTCGTAAGGTTTTAAAATTTATCTTTCAGGGAGACATAAAAATTAATAAGCCAAGTATTAGTAAGAGAAATTCGTGAAATGATGCAAAAGAATTGTATTTATTATTCATATTTCTTAAGAAAAAAAATTCAAATTAATTAACTTTAAATAATTATATCGATGTTTTACAAATTATTTGAGTAACTTCTAGAGAAAGGTAACGCAGGTATTCCGGTTTAAACACTTTGAGAACCCTTCTTTTACAGTATTAAATAATTGTAAATAATTGAGATTAATTACAGTTTTATTTGTAATTTTAGAAGTTATTGCCTTCTCTAATTGGGAGACGGATGAACGTTCCAGAGGATATGCTGGGGATGGTTTCTGGAAAGCTGCGCCCGTTGGTGAACTTATAAACATTGAAGATTACTGTCCGATGATTTACAGACTTCGTAATGGAACCAATGCTGCCTATACGTTTTCTACATTGCGTGGAGCTGCAGATGGTGAGACATTTTATATTATTGGGTTATCCGAAAAGTTCTGAGTTTTTTTTCAATGGTGAATTCCGATGAAGCAGTACCAAAAACATAAAACAAAATCTTAGAATCACATACGTATCATTTTGTTCCATGATTTTTTTCCATCTCTTCAGCAGCTGGAAAATTCCTTTTCAAAAAACATTTGCTATTAGAGTTATTCATAAAAAAGTTATTGAGGTGCTGTTTGATTGTCTCCAAAGAAATGAACTCATAGCCATTCAAAGAATTTTGAAGGAACTTTATGATATTAAAATTCAAGGGAGTGAAATCTAGTATATATGGAGGGGACACAAAACAACTCAATTAAGTCTTTGACAGGCATCCCTTGAAATGTGGGGTCAAGCATTGTCTTAAGTACGATAACACCTCATCAACTTAACGCTCTAAATGCCTTGCTTTAATTTCTGCTTTCAAAGCTGCCATTTGGGAACAGTATTTCTCCAGTTCCATAGTTTGATTTTGGTGATAATAATCCATACTATACAACTCCTTTGTAGTCCGACCATCCAAGAGGCTCCAATTCGATATTAACAAAAGAGGTTTTTTGGGGGGCTTATCCCATGATCCTTTTCCTGTAACTTTATTGCATGGCATCCATTTCTAATCCCCTGTAATGATCCATTTGAAAAAAAAAAGAATTTCTTTGGTTTTTTAAGCAAAGAATCACATGCTAAACACGAACAAGTATATTCTGCTCTCGTAAAGTATGATATACCCTAAAAGTAAAAAATTCGAAATCAAGGACCCAATTAATGCTCATGAAGCATTACAGAAACTAGGTAGCAATATAACAAGTATACACTGTACTTTAACTATCCTAAAACAAAAATTATTTTATCCTGGAAAAGAAATAAACTGATTAGGAAAGCTTCGTGGCTTAAATGGAATAATTCAAATGCTCTAAAAAATTATGAGTTTAAATTCCCTGTTCACTAATCCATTGAGGTACATTTTTGATTTTAAAATGTAGATCTTTTGTCTAACTGAAGTAAGAAATAAGATATAGTCATAAATCAGTAATTAAAATAGTTAATCTTACGACTCGAAAAGTTGCAAGACATAAATTCATGAAGACGTTATATTTAAAAGTTTTAGAAAGCTATTAGCTTATTACACTCATGTACATAAATTAAGGATAATTCCGAGTCACGCGGAAATCGAACTCTAAAATAAATATATCACCTGTAAAATCACTACACACATCTTCAAGAATCATATGCAAATTTCAGGAAGTAACCAAATGACACCGATGGTACGTCACAATGACGAGATGTAAGAGAGAATAATAATAAGGAATACAGGTAAAGAAGTAAAATTGTTCGCAGACGCTTTATAAGCATTTCAGTGCAATAACCGAATAGTTATGACACAAAGGATGCATTTGGATGATTTTTTACGTGGCAGAATTATCGGCCGTCTGGAATGTGGGCGTACCCAACTGGAAGTATCAGACGAACTTGGAATTGCCCAGAGTGTCATCTCCAGGCTTTGGCAACCATTCCAAGATGATGCTAATGTGAGTAGACGTTACAGCACAGGTCGCCCCAGAGTTACAACGCCGAATGAGGACCGGTATTTGGCAGTTACTGCCAAAAGAAACAGGCGGAGCACAGCCTCAGACCTGTCTCGTCAGCTCTCTTCAGCCACTGGTACGACAATTTCAAGGCAGACCGTGTACAGACGCTTAGGGCAGATTAGTCTATATGCTCTTACAACTGTCAGATGCGTTCCACTTACTGCAACTCACTGTCGCCTGCGATTAGCCTAGAGTAGAGACCATGCATTGTCGACACCGCAACAGTGGGCTTGTGTGATGTTTTCCGACAAGTCCAGGTTTAGCTTGCAGTCTGATTCTCGTCGGACTTTCATATGGAGAGCTCCAGGTAGCCGTTACCACCAAGAAAACATCCGACACCGTTATGGTGGTGCAGGAGTGCTCGTTTGGGGTGGAATTATTCTGGGTTCCAGAACTGACTTGCATGTTCAAATTGGAACCATGACAAGCCAAATCTATCGGGACGTCATTCTGGAACAACATGTACGTTTCTTTCGGGGCGCCATGGGCGCACAATTTGTGTTTTATGGATGACAACGCCCGTCCTCACCGTGTAAGCGAATGCCTTCAATCGGAGGATATCACCCATATGAACTGGGCAGCATTCTCACCGGACTTGAATCCAGTAGAGCACGTGTGGGACATGCTTGGCCGACGAGTTGCAGCCCGTCAACCTCCTCCTACATGTCTACCGGAACTTCGGAGAGCATTGCTTTTTGAGTGGTGTAATATCAGCCAAGATCAGATCGATACTTTGATACTCAGCATGCCTAGGCGTTGTACGGACTGTATTGCATCGTCTGGGAGACATACAATGTATTAACAATCATACCAATCATGTAATATTGGTTTTTTGTAAATAGTTTTTTTTTTTTTTTTTGTTGTAATTTGCTCCAGGGAGAAAAAATCGCTAATTTTTTTAATAATATCAAACATATAGCATCTTTTTTTGCTCTTTACCTTTTGTTTAATAAATAAGCTTTACAAATAAGTCAAATTTGTTTTGCTTCTAACTCTTCCTTTGCCTGATTTTGCATTATCCTTAATTTATGGACATGAGTGTATATAGCTATGCCATATAGCGGAAAACTCAACATGGTGAAGATAATCAAAGAAGATCTCTTATTTTAATCTTTAAATCATTCTGCGCAGCACTTGAAACAACATAAAAATTCTTATTGGATTGGTACCACTTGATTTGAAGCTAATTTGGAATACTTTTGAATTATTTTAGCTAAATTTGGAATTAGAAACATTTACAGTTTCGTACTTTATGGCGGCATGGAATAGCGTAATAAAAGCAGCACTGTAGTTAACATATCCAGGCAAGAAAGAATATTGCTTTTCAGGCAATATTCATCATTAGTAGCTAATACTGGTTGACTTATAAGGAAGAAGATAGAGGCTTGACTGATAGTTCAGAAATGGGAGGAAAAATGTTCTTCTAATCTTGGGCTTACAGAAGTGAGCCTCGTTCTTCAGAAGGCAATGATTGGAACCCAAATCAGTGAAATAACACAGGGCTGTTGATGAAACCATCTTACGAAAGGCAGTTGATAATGAATAGTGTTACTTTCTAATGTATCTGGAGATTAGCCAGGGATATTTTTCTACAACTTTGATGAAGAATGCCATTTCTGTCTCTTATTGATGTTCTGCGTAGAAACTGTTTCAGACTGAGATTTATTCTAGCACATTTTTTCGCAAGACGTGTAATATCCTTTTAAAACTGTTTGTGTAATTTGAGGAATTATTGTTCGAAATATGGGAATTAAAATTAAATCTTACTTTTTATTTAATGGGAAAAAATAGTCCGAGTAAATTAACTTGAGTTCAAAATAAAATTTTAAGATTAAATATATTACCATAAAATGTTATCTGCTTTCTCTAATTAAATACTTGCTCGTTGATTATTATATAAATTGCATTAAAGTTAATTATAAACAACTATTGTTAAGTTATTTAATTGCATTGTATGCTACCTAGTAATCACTTTTTTCTTCTGTTACGCAGGTCTTTTATTGGGATCTGTGATCCATTCTATCTTGGGCTCGAAAGAAGATGCGAAACTGAGCCAAATTTTGCGCATGTACTATACTAGAGGTGGAATTCTAGCTGAGACTGAACATCAAGTGCTAGGTTCAGTTCGCGCTTCATTCTGTAACAGAGACTACTTTATTTCCGAACTAAGCCAGGAAATAAAAGATCAAACATACATCTTCGTAATTCTCGCATCAAAAGCCGTAACAACAGCAAAAGAAAAATTCTACAGAGCTTTAATTCAGTACAATAATGTAAAGGACAGCGTCTTTAAGCACAGACGAGGTATGTTAGACTTTTATTTATCTACGAATAATAGTTTATAATTTTATACAGGGTGTCTCGAAACTCATGAGCAAAATTTTAAGAATTATAGAAAATATCTAAACAAGCATTTTTCACCATACAATGCATGGGCGGAGAGCAAGCGTTGAACCGCTAGACGGGCGATGTAATGGAAAGCATAAAGCGCGAGTTTTCTTACTCATCGTCAAATCTAGCGTGGATTTCGGAAGGAAATTCGAAGTAGAGTAATCAGGAAAGGTGGAGATGCATTTTATGTATGATCTTGCGAATGGGAATGCTCTGGAAGCCTAAAGACTATATTGGCAGGTGACAGGTGAGAGCGGGTCCGGACACCCGGACGGCTTACATAGACTAGTCGGGTATCGTCCGGATCCCGCAACTATCTGAAGCTACACTCCGAAAAGAATACAAGAGCAAAGTACATAGACTGTACTGGCAGCGTTTTCCGAGAAGGCACGTGCTAGACCAAAAATGTTTGAGTAATTGCATCTGTGCCTGTCTGAAACGGGATCTTTTGTCACAGGCGTGCATGCTACAGGGGATAGCAGGAGCGTGAGGACGCCACACGGTGTACTTCAAAGAGTGGAACGTTCTTCAAAGATCCTTCGGATGCGAGAGGTTTCCCATGCTGTAAGTGTCTCCCACTCAAGTGTTTGGCGAGTATTACGAGACGAAGAATTTTACCCCTACCATGTACATAAAGTGCAAGCCTTAATACCTGCAGATTATGCGTCTTATGTCGAGATTGCCCGTTGGTATTTACAACAGCTAGCAGAGCAGCCCGATTTCGGGGCAGATCTGTTTTTCAAGGGATGAATGCACCTTTACTCGTGAAGGCATTTCTAATACGCATCTTTAATCACTCCTTACATTTTTGCCGCTCATGAGTTTCGAAACATCCTGTATTATATTACTTTAAATATAATAATACAGGGTGTTCACAAGCATCCTTACCCGATCTTCTTTTCTGAATCATTGCATGGAGACTCATACAGTAGTACTTTGATTATATGTCATTAATTCATTCAAATCATTTCTTATAAAAATTTCTATTGTTGTTATTATAACACTGCTTAATATTAAATACAAATACAGTGGATGAATGTATACATAAATGTTTTCCTGCTATCCGGATCAAGAGCAATTTCTCGACATGCTCTTATCTGATCTCTATTTGGTAATAGAGTTCCTCCCTTTGCAACATTTAACCGATTTAATACTGAAAATGATCTCAATGATTTGAACTACCGCTTACAGGGAAAAGATCTACTTGTTCATAATCTTTATTACTTTATGAAAGCTTTTGAGACAAAATTAATCCTGTCTGTAAGTCAGTTGCTAAATAAGAATTCCGCTGACTTTCCAAAATTGATGAATTGTGTGAAGAACTCTACAACGTGGAATTCAAATAATTATGTACAACGCATTTCAAATTCTAAAGAGGAATTCAAAAACAGAGTTTCCGATTTTCGTGAAACTGAATTTTTTATCAGAATGTTACCTTCGCCATTTTCAGTAGACGTTGGAAGTGTTCCACCTGAACTTCAATTACAATTTATAGATTTACAGTGTGAACTACCGCTTACTGGAAAAAGATCTCTTTGTTCATAATCTTTATTACTTTGTGAAAGTAAAATGCAAGTTTCTTGAAAATCCTACATTAATTGATTTTTATTCGAAGTACGTGACCGAAGACAAGTATCCAGGAATTCGTAAACATGCACCCTTCATGTCTTCTATCTTTGGCAGTACCTACGTATGTAAACAGCTTTTTACGTATTGCAGCAACAAGATTAACCCGGATACTGAAGCTTTAATCAAGAATAAACAATGTCAAATTTCGCATTAAAACTAAACTACCATCTCCCGCCAGTAATATGAGTTTTTGTTTTCACCGTAAATGCATTTTGTAACATCGTTCTGTGTAATCATCTGTATACTTTTTTCCCCATAGATAAAAAATGTTGCAAAACATTTAAATTCGATTTCCATTTCACTTTTTGGAACCAATGTATATGTTACGGTGAAACACCGAAATCTGGAGAATGTCGACTTTCAGCGGTGAATGTCAACATTCACATAGTCTCTTGGTGTATGTCCGAAATATTTTCCAAATACTCTTATTTCTGACTTACACCGGTCAATGTCGACATTCACCATGTACTAATGGTGAATGTTGAACATATAACAATGTTATATTTTCTTCTCCGTAATTCAGTCGCGAATAAACGCACTTGAGACTTGAAATAAGAACTTAAGAACATGAGAACCTAAAACACACAATACATTCAAAATGAGAAAGGAAAATAATAGAAGTTAAAAACTTACTTAATTATACAGTACGTTCTAAATGAGAAAATAAAATAACAGTAATAAAAAACTTACTAAATTATGTGATTCAAATCTTATTTATTGCAACAACTTAAACTATTATGGCTTTTTATGACTTCTCTTTTCGACTTTCACCTCTCCAATTTCGGTCTTTCACGGTGACATATACATATACAAATCTGTAACACTATCTCTTCGCTTAAAATCAATTGTAGTCTTGCAAAACAAACCTCCCTTTTTTATATAAATTTACTGAATACACTATTTTTTTTACAGACATGTGGCCCGCGGATCTTTGTGAATTTATTGATCTAGCCCTCAGGCGTGAAAGCTTGAAGACCCCTATGTTAAAACAATGGTACCTAGAGCGATTCAGTTTTGAATGACGAAATCCTACTACGAATATGGGCATCTGGAAGCCCAAATTTGGAATTTGTTTTATTATTTATTTCATATTTAGTAAAACTTTAAAGAATTTTTGATTAACAACCTGAACGATTTCAAACAAGAAATGGCAACACTGTATGAAAAAAAATCATTTTTTTCTCCAGCGCGCGAGACTGTGTATCGAAAATTCTAAAGATATGCTCATTTTAAAATTATTCTGCGATGTTACTATTGAAGTGAATTTTATGGTTTAAGTGCGAAGAACATTTTATTTATTAGGTAAAGGTAACACACAAAACGTTAAAAAAAGCCCTTTTGTCGTTTGTTTGTTTTTGCCCCCATATTTTTTTTATTAATTAATGTCTTTATAAAATGTAACCGCTGAACTCGGATCGAACTACTAATATTTAATGAACTTACCACGTGGGACGTTACTCACGAACTGAAATACAGCGCGTATTTAAAGCAAACCTGATTTGCATGTTCATAGTGGCATACTAGCGGGACATTTATGCACATAGCTCGAAATTTGATTAGACATCATCTTTCAAATCTATAAATGCGCTTACCAAATTTCGTTTATCTAGCACAACTCCTTCTTGGTGCCGTAATTTTTTTCCATCAGCGTATTATGTAAAATCTCCTACAGAATAATTGTTTACACAAGTGATGAATAATGCTTACGACAAAAAGGCCTATCAACGAGCTTCCTAAACTTCCTACATTTTAACTTTCATAGTGCATAATTATAATGCTTATTCTAAACTTAGTGATTTAAAAGCAATATGAGCACTTCTTAATAAATAGTATGAAATTTCGAAAAGCAGTTAATTGAAAATGCAAAGAATAAAATGCTTTAGTACAAATTTTGAGAGAATGATAGATAGCCTTGTAATTATCAAAGCGTTCAAAATCTTGAACCTTACATTCACTTACATACCTAAAATGCTAAATTCGTTTTATTTTTTAATCGCTCCAAATCTGTTAAACAAAATTTAGCACTGAATTGTATGAGTTGAGAATTAATTAAGGATATTTTTCGAAAAATTTATACCCACAAATGAAATGTACACTGAAATAAATTGTTTTAAAGAAATATATTCATTAATAGTTCTTGCAAATGACTTGTGAATTTTTTATTAACATTTGTTTAACTTTTTTTCTAGATTTTCAAGACTACTGCGCACCCGATGGTATGTATTAATATTTTCTCTACATTTTTATGACATTATAGATTAACAGTAACTAAATAGATTGAACAGTTTAGTTCGTAGTTCACTAGGGAGAAGAGGGACCCAGACTCAGTTAAAGAGCAGCCACACACAGTTAAACGCTCCAACCCCTATAGGCCATCCAAGCAAGCATAACATGCCGGTAAACCCGGGGGGAGCAATTTTGTTTCCCACAGTTTGAGTTAAGAACGCAAGTCATGGTCCTTGCCGAGCTTGAACCTACCACCGAATAGTTTTGTTTAAATATGTTTCCCACAGTTTGAGTTAAAAACACAAGTCATAGGTGGACGGCAGGGCATCCACCACAAAGAAAACATAGTCATAGTAAAGACATCGATCGTCCCCCAGTGTTGGAAAAGCCAAACCCCCAAGGCCAACATTCGATATCTAACCATGTAACATCCTCACAACCAAGGAGCAGACAAGACAGCACCATATGGTCCTTGCCGAGCTTGAACCTACCACCGAATAGTTTTGTTTAAATATGTTTCCCACAGTTTGAGTTAAAAACACAAGTCATAGGTGGACGGCAGCGCATCCACCACAAAGAAAACATAGTCATAGTAAAGACATCGATCGTCCCCCAGTGTTGGAAAAGCCAAACCCCCAAGGCCAACATTCGATATCTAACCATGTAATGTCCCCGCAACCAAGGAGCAGACAAGACAGTACCATATGGTCCTTGCCGAGCTTGAACCCACCACCGAATAGTTTTGTTTAAATATGTTTCCCACAGTTTGAGTTAAGAACACAAGTCATAGGTGGACGGCAGCGCATCCACCACAAAGAAAACATAGTCATAGTAAAGACATCGATCATCCCCCAGTGTTGGTAGCGCGTGTTTCCAACTCTCTTAAAGCCGGTTAGGCTCGGCCGTATCATTACGTAATCTTGGATATTCGCCGGCTAGTTTAATTTGAGGGCCAACTGAGCTAGATACTTGTGTTTAGCTTTAGCTAAGTCTCCACTTGTTAGTTATAGTTTAATTTCGTATTTCGTATTCTGAGTTAAAGCCCGGGTAGCGGCTTCCTTCAAGCTTGAGAAAGCGTCGACTGTTATTCTTATCTAAGTGAAATAAAGGGTATTTAACCCTTCTCGAGTGTACTTCTTAGCTGTTCTGAACTCAGCGATAAGTCGCTACACAGTTCGCTAGGTTCCTCGACGTTCATGTTAAACAAAAAAAGTGAGGAATAACAGAGAATATAACGTAAGACTGAAGAAAATGTCACACGTTTCGAGATTACAGATAGTAATTGTGAGAGTAATTGTGTAATTAGAGCTATTTTTTGTCTATACCTCTGTAAAACCTTTAAATTACGAAGATGCAAAAACTGCGCCAAAAACATGGGACGGTCCTATATCTCCCGTTCCATTAGGCCGATTCACGAAGTTCAACTTACGTTTTCGATGTCTCGAAAGCGCTACTTAGGATATGTTTCAAATACTGATATGTGTGTATGTGGTGAACTTGGAAATCCTGAACATTATGTGACTCAGTGTCCTATTACACAAGATTATCACATTCCCATACCAAATACTAACACTCGTGCATTTTGTAAGTTTTTAATTAAACAAAAATACCTTAGTTAAAAAACTGATCAAAATTATGGAAATACTTCATTCCTATGGTACTGACTTGTGCTTGGTAACATAATTTACAATTTTATTATATTGTACGCATACATGTTAGTGTTAATCTACTATTCCCATATGTCAACTTATCACATGCTTGGATTGGGATTTGTCTCATTAAATCTTCGTTGAATTTTGTTCAATAAGAATGTTTACATATATATATGTATATATATATATTATTTATCTTTGTTAGAAGTACCATTTGATATATGCATTTTACTTTTCTATTAATATCTGGATTATTTTAGTATTTGAATTTGTATTGTTGAGATCTTATCGATTGTATTGGGTTGTTTTCTCGATATGTCTTTAACTTGTTATGCATTTATAATTATATCAGTATATATCTACTGACTGTATTTGAATATGCATTGCATAGATGTTTTAAGAATAACATTTTGCTTTTGTATTGGTCATATGTTCGGATTTTTATTTGAGTTTATTATTATAATTATATTTTAATACTGTTGGTATTTAAATTGCAATACCATTCTGTTGTACGAATATGACTTTCTTTTGTATAGTATATCTATATCTAACATTGTATACTACTACTCTTTAACTTTACGTTTTGCATTGATATGCATAGTCCTTTAACTTAGTATTGTTTTGCACTGATGGTTCATGAAATATTAACATTTGTAATTACATGCTCGTGTTTGCATTATATTGTACTGTTGGACTTGTATTGTATTATACAGTCTATTTATATTTACAATCTTATTACGTACCAATTGATCATTGTATTATAATTGTCAGAGAATTTCAGTATGTTATCATATGTACTAATATTTGAAGCAGTAGTAGTCCTTTAAACTTACTATTATTTTGCACTTATGGTTCACGAAATATTTGCATTTGTAATTATATCTTACTTTTTACATTGATATTGTACTATTGGACTTGTATTATGCAGTATATTTATAATTGCAATTTCATTATATACCAATTGCACATTGTATTATAATCGTCAGAGAATCTCAGTATTTGCTATCATATGTACTAATGCCTGGACGGTTCGGTGAGCGTTGTGTGGAGGGCGCTTTTGGTCAGTTTGACTGCCCTCTGGATGGTCCGAGCGTTGGGCCTCGGCTTTTGGTGCTGGGCGCAAATGTGGCTCCTACACATTGGCTCTAGACAGTGGTGGGCACGGTGCAATACCGATTAACCATTATGGTAAAGGGACAATGCCCGTGCTCCCCGTTACCTACCTACCTACTTAGGATATGTATTAGATTTATTTATATATCATTGTTCTAATACAGGTATTTTGACACAAAATCAGACTTTTCTGAAATGATATGCCAATTTGTTTTTCCCATATTTCAATTCTACGACTCACATTGTGCCAAAGTGTTAGGCTTTGTAAAAATCGCAAGAGTAGTTTTTAAAAAAATAACTCTCAAAACTTTAGCTCCTCCATGTTAATTGAATTTGGTATATATTTATTTATTAATATAGCTTTTTATATCAAAGTTTTTTATTCTTCCTTTCACATTCAAACAGGTTCGTTCCAAATAAAATTCGCCCATTTTTTTATGATTTATTTTTTCAATTTGTATTTTTAAATAATATTTTTAAATTTTCCGAAAACAATTTTTAATTAGAACCTGTAAAAATTTATTATTATCTTAAAGTAGATGTATTTCTAAGCATACCAGTAAAAAAAATTAAGTTTGTAATTCAAAATTTCCAAAGATATACGTAAATTTACATACTAGCGCGTTTTGAAGTTTAGCATATTTGTTATAAGCGATAATAACTCCAAATGTGGTTTACGAACTTTGTTAAAATTATTTGAAAGTATGAATGATGACCTTTTTACCGCTCATGTAACAATAAAAAAGGGGAAAGGAAAATAGGTTGCTAAAAATTAATAAGTTCGCCAAGTGAATTATTCTTGGCGCAAACTGAAAAAATGCGCCAAGATAAATTTTTTAATTTCTGCATAAATTTCTCCCCAAAAATTACAAAATTTAATATCTAGGCATAATTTTAGTCGTAAAATCGAAGTATTGAAAAACATTGGCATGTCATTTCAGAAAAAGTTCGCATTTGTGTCAAAATATCTATGTTAGAATAGAACAATGCTATGAATAAATCAAATATATATCCTAAGTCGAGCTTTTGATACATGAAAAACGCAATTTGAATTTCCTCATTCGAGCCAATAGAACAGGAGATATAGAAGTGTCCGCCCTCCCTCTTTTTTTTTTTTTTTTTTTCAGTGTACCTTCATTTTTCTTTGTTCCTTTATAGCTGTTAAAGAAAAACTGGAAACACCCTTAGATGTAATTGTGGTTCTTGATACACGAAACGGGGAAGAAAACTTTCAGAAACAACAAAGGATTGTTGGGTAAGTAAAGTTAAATTTTCTCAATTTTTCAAGCTTCAATGGAAGTTCAAAGATATTTCTCTTATTAATGAATTTCTGTACTGAAATGTATCGTTACAGTAGTTTATAGCTCATTGCATTTGTTATCCAATATATACTTTCCAAAATCAAAATTAATTCCATCAATAAAAGAAAGAAAATTACAGCGGCTTATTTTGCTAATTTTTAAATTGATATAAAATTCAAACTTGTATTGAAGTTGTTTTAAAATAAAACTCATGCATTTCAACGGAAATCAGATCGATTTTCTGTTTTTCGTGGTACAAAAAAGTAGCCTACAAAATATATAAAATATTTTTGCTTCTAGAATCAGGGTATTTTAATACCTGTTCTTTCTCAAAATTCAATTAGTTTTATTTAAAAAGCCTACTCTCAGGATGGAATATCGCTTTAATTTAAATCTCATACTGGAGAGGTCTCTTTTTTACATACTTTCCTTAACCTTTTTACCTAACGGCATGTTATATATGGCTGTATATGAAATCGGAGACTTGTTGCTTAGTAACAAATTGAAACAAAGCCAAATTAAATAATCAACAGTGTTACCACAATAGACGAGAAGCAGAAGTTTAACAAAAACTGTCTTGTCTTTTTGTTGTTGCTAATGCTCACTTCTCTGATCTATAGTCAGCCCAAGCCCTCGAAATTCCTTTTGTCAAGGAGCGCGGGTTTACGCCTATCGTTGGCAATAACCTTCACCATCTTAACAGGTGACACTGCGATTTAGCTCCGTTTCGCCCTAATTTTGATGGAGAACACCCCAGCGGGACGGGTCCGAGGGTTTCCCGCCGAGAGGACTTTCGGTTCCCCGCACATTTAGCGTGCCCCCATGCCGCACAGACACTATATATTTAGAAATATCTATGCCGGGATTTAAACCCGAGCTCTTTGACACGGCAGTTAGCGACGCTAGCGACTACACCGGTTGGGCCGCCTGTCTGGTGTTCAAATATTTAGCGTTTTAAAAAAAATTTTTTAGCGTTTTAAAAATTTTAGTTATTGTTAGGCACATATTTGTAAGATAAGTCATATGTCGTAGATGTTGAAATTTTTTTGGGCATTATACGTTTTTATAAGCAGATACTTAATTGCGCTATACAATGCCTGAAATATATTGTTATTTTTGACTTTAAATTAAATTTTTTTTGGGCATTATACGTTTTTATAAGCAGATACTTAATTGCGCTATACAATGCCTGAAATATATTGTTATTTTTGACTTTAAATTTCTAAGCCATTCAGCACTGTCGAGAAGAATATCACCTTCAAGACTTCAAAATAAATCACAGATAAAATATTATTATACAGCTTATTTAGGTAAAAAATAAATAAGATAATAAAACGTTTCTATAAATTACTCTTGTTTGTATTTTGCATTATTCAAACGATATTAAGATAGCTGCTTCAATATCAGAGAAAACACACTTCTTTAACCTTCTGCGCATCGAACTGACATTTGAATTTTCAAAATCTTATGTTTTCCTTCAGAATGGTAGGCAACATACTGAAAGGGATGTCAAATAAGTCTTCTTTCTGTATGAAGGATTTTCATTTGTGTGTCATATCAAAAACCACACTTTTTTTTCGTAAATTAACTTTCCTTCGATATTTTATCTACGGGTTTATGGATTTGGAGTGAGTGAGCGCCACCAAGGAAGACCACTGACCTGGCCTTAGCCTCACAGTGTGTTATCTTCCTGGCAGAAACCATCTACTCTCTGCTCCATCCTGCTCCGGGAACACAGCCGAATAGACGGCTAAGAGCCTCATAAAGTCTACATATAAGCTTGGATGTTGTTGTACGGAGAAAGAGTATCCTGTTAGGAACTACTTAAAATTAAGCAAAGAAGCAATCAAAAGACTGTTAAGAATCGCTGGTAGAATAGACAGAAACTTGTGTTAGATAAAGTAAAGATAGGAGGACTTTGCCTGAAAAATTAACTGCCGTGGATTTTCTGGACTTGCTAAATGTCTACATGCGGGTGCTTATCCTGACACAACCGTCATATCTTTATGGGGCTTCTGTGAAATCGTTGGTCCTGCATGGAGGAAAGTTGTAACCTATTAAATTATTGCACATAGTAAACTAAAAAAAAATAATAAATAAAAAATAAAAAAGAGAGAGATTAAAAGATGATTAAAAAAATCCTAGCGCCCAAACATAATTTAACGCAGTTTACTTTCCATGTGCCTGACTCATGTAAGAATGTAATGTAAGAACATTTAAAAGAATGGGTACCTGTTATCACTAAGATAACAAATTCCTGCATACTTAAACTATATAACTAATTTAGTTCTTTGCGCATACTTAAACTGTAGTTGTTTTACAAATTGAGCCATTCACCTACATTTTCTTTCGTAGTACTTGCAGACAGGATAATACATACATAAGTACAAAACTGAATATTAAAGTGAAAAACTAACATGATACTGAGTACAGAAATACAGAAAGCTGATCCCTAATGCCTGCATACATAACACTTAAAAATGCATACATAATACATGAAAACTAAAAATAAAACTGATAAGCATAATACATAAAACTGATCATTAAGTACTGCTATGTAGTCTAAATCCTAGCCAAGTAAGAACTGACCTTCATAGTACATGCAGAGAAGGAATAAATACAGACTTGAGTACTTTAAAGTGAACATAAACAGAAAAGTACAGCACCATACTCAGTAAAACTGATATCTGATTCCAAACACTTGAATACATAATGCTGATACATAATTACAAAGAGAAACTTACCTACATTAATTCCATAGTTAGTTTTATCACCTTAGAACATGCACATAATTTATACAAAACATAATTAAGCACGTAATGCTGATCACTCCAAATCCATTAAGCACTCCAAATCCATTAAGCACGTAATGGATTTGGAGTGAATGATGACAACACTTAATGAAGAATAAAAACGCAATTTATTCGTCAGTATTACACGGCATAGACATGTTACAGTCCTCGAAAAACACTACCGAAAACAGGATGAAGCGATCAGCAATACAGCCTTCAGGTTATAAAAGGCGAAGGCAGCTTCACGGCAAATTTATGAATGAGTAACTTGTTATCTACAGATAGAATGCTGTTTCGAGCAAATAAGGGGTAGAGTTTAGCTTTACATGCACGAAACTTCTGGGTAATAGGTGTGATATGTGGGTTCCATGTAAGAGAGTTTTTAAGGATCACCCCAAGGTGAGAAACTTGCCAGGCCCAGCGCATAATATTTCCATACAACTTTGAGATTTTCCTTGATTTTACTCTGGCTAGTGAAGAGGATAATTTCATTTCTGGATGTCTAGGACTTAGGTTTGGGAAGAAGATAACTTCATTTTTAAACCAAATCTCAAGTTCTTGGATGTGTTCTTGTAACCGTTAGATGATTGGACTGACAAACGCACTTTGGGCAAGGATCGTTGTATCATCAGCATACATTGCAAGTGTAGTGGTGGTTGTGTTGGAAATGCCGCTCACATAAATATTAAAATGGTGAAACCTAGTAAGGACCCTTGAGAAATTGTTGCTAATAAAGCAATGCGGGAACATGAACGACAAAGTATCTACCTGTGGCATAAGACTTGCCAACCGAATTTTCTTATGTTCAGGATTCTATGCTGAGGGCTACTTTTTAAAATTTTAAATATCTTCTCAAGAAGCGAGTAACTAACTGGAACGTTTTCGATATACACGTAGTATCAAAGTTTAATTTTTGCCTGTTTTTGCTAAATGGTGCGAAGTGATTAAAATTGTTACAAAACAAGGTTATTCAAACTTCAAATTCGAACTATAAGTCTGCGAACAACAGCTTAAAACTTGTAACAAATGGAACAAAAGAACATGCCGAAGAACTAAATGCTAAAGCCATTAAAAGTAAGCAACCATAATCGTGAGGGAATTTGTAGAACTGTAATTTTGAAGAGTATACTTAACTTTCTTTCTCAGGAGGGGATGTGAAAATGATGGAAAAGAAGCCTTTGTCTGTATGAAAATAGTAGAAAAAATTTGTGCTCCAGCTAATTCTTGAAAGTTCTAGATAGATCAGACACAACAAACTCCCCATAGATATCTGTTAACAGAAATATGAGCAAAAATAAACTGAGAAAAACATTTTTGAAAGGTTGACAGTAAAGACTAATTAGAATTGAGATCGCTAGGGAGATGCGAAAGATTTTTATGGATGGGGAAATTTCCCCAGGCAGTTTAATTTATCAACGGAAATCTATTTTTTTAATAATTTTGGCTCCAGGGGAGGGGAAATCATTTTGTTGAAATACTGCATGTAAACTACTTTTATTCTTAATATTGATAGTTTATATTAAATCTTCAAGCTCCCTACAGAATTATTAATATTATTCACTTGTTTCAGCTACTTAAGCAAAAATTTGGATTTAAGTTACTACGGAAGTCGACTGACTATATTAAAAGATGAGGTTTCCAGCTCTGCGGGAATAGTTGAGTTAGAGCCAGTTCTTACAGACTCATATTCGTCTGCATGTGCAGCTTGTCATATAACTCAAATTAATTATGGTAAGGGCACTTATTCGTCTTAGTTTTATTAGGTTAAAAATTCCTTAATTCCTAAATTTTTTGCCACCCTATTTTTCTAGAATATTTATACTATTACTTACTCTTTTGCAAAAACTGCTTCTTAAATTTGGAAATATTTTTGGAAATTATAAAGCTAAAATTGTAAAGAATTTTGACTAACGTGATTATCAGATAATTTTGCTTACTAACAACTCACTTCATTTTATCATATCATACATAAACAGTGCTACGATTATTGCCTAATTTTTTTTTTCTTCTTAAATGACAAATTTCTGGTCCACGGTCCAGAATAGTTTTTCCTCATTCAAAAAGACTCATACCATTCCTATCTCTTAAAATGCGTAAAGTTTTTTTTTTTTTTTTTTTTTTTTTTTTTTAATTATTTCTCTAAATTTAAATTTTTTTCAGATTTCAATTTGAAATTGGTTTGCTTTTCTTCCATATCATGTAACTTTTATATATAACTTTTTATATATATGTATACAATATATATAAAAAGATATATATATATACACGTATATTTAGGACTAATAGCAGACCGCTATTTATCTTATTTTTTATTTTTAATTTTGATTTTGATTTTGATTTTAGTCTAGTTTTTAGAGGTATCGGAATAGTTTTTTACATATTTTAACACCTTAATGTGTCTTTTAGGGCGGACGCGTCGGGAAATTGGAACAGAGAATTGAGACTATTAAATTTTCCAAGACACTTTGTCTAAATTAAAAAGTTTTGTAGCGAAAAAGTTTCAATTGTCTGTTTCGGCGAAACGCGTAATGGGGTTAGCTTGATTCGACGTTCAAACAAAAAAATTTCCCTTGAAAAGCCAGTTTGGAAGTCGAGTTAAGCTAATTTACCATTTTCCGCTTACCTTTTTTATCTGATTTTGTTTTTTTAATGTTTTACCTGTTACATGGTTTGATTTTCATACGTATTAATTTTTTAAAACGTGTTGAACTTTTTGGAGCAACAGCTCCTGGTAACTTTTAGGCGAGCTTACTACAATTTCTAATTTACTTATTTTGCAGCATATTGCGCAAAATGTTATCTAGACCAAATTGGTCATTCAGTATTGTAATAACTACTTGCTTATATATATATATATATATGTATATATGTAAAAGTATAAAATATCTATCTTTCAAATAATAAATTAATAATAGCCCTTTAACTCCATTTTCTTTCTAAATAGCAGAGCAATAATTTTTTCCAATTAAACTCCCTGCAAATCTGATGCGTACTCATTGACGAAATCTGAACTCAACATTTGGACATTAACTTGTCATGTGATCTAAAATGTAATCTGGTATAAAGGGTCAATTGCATCGCAACTCTCTCCCTTCGCTCTTGGCCTCTACTTCCTTTCGCTGGGTCGTCTTGCCGCTACGTTTACTTTTGTAATTTCGTCCATTGTTTAAGATGTAAGCTGTACAAAATTGGGGGGTGCATAGTGCACTCACAGTGATGATGTGCATTATCAAGGATTAAAATTATTTGTGGAATTTATCATTATGTGTACTCGAGTGTCATCTTTCTAACTACGCAGTAAAATCTTCAAGTTATGATGCAGAGAACCAGAACCAATCCGTTGCAACTTACTTTCCACCAAGTCATCTTATTACATGTATATATATATATATATATGCGTGTGTTTGTATGTGTGTTAGATAAAAAAAAAAGTATAAATGAGCTTTGTAATTTAATTTAGTAATAGCTTCTTAATTCCTCATTTTTAATTTGGTTATTTCCTCTTTATTCTAAAAATAATAATAACATTTTTGGACTGCGTCATTTCTAGATTAATCTATGATACAAACGTATGTAACAAATTATGTAAGCTTGCGCTTGTGACGTAGTTATTTCGGAACTTAAACTCTTAAGAACCGAAACCTTTGTAAACCAAAGCCTTTCTCTTTAGTGAGCTACCATATTGGATAGATGCTTACTTCGCTTGTATCTCTGCTGCTGCTTCGACGCCATTTTATTTCGCTGTAGTTTTTTCTTTTCGCAATAGTATTCAAACGTGTAAATGTTCTGAAATAAAGCACGATTAGAGTACCAACTGGACTGTGGCTGCAAATGTGAATTTAAATAGAAATGGAATTTAATCTGGGTCGACTTCTTCTTTAATATGGATCAACGTTCTACAGCTAACAACACAACTACGTTACTATGTCTCAGTGTTCCTGCATCAACACTTCTCTAATTTTTATTACATAAATGTATATATATATATACTATGACTATGCCATTATTGTAATAAGATGACTTGGTGAAAGTAAGTTGTAACGGATTGTCGGTGGTTCTCTGCATTATAACGTGAAGAAACTTTGCTCCGTAGTTGAAAAGATGGATGCATAAACCAAAAAACTTCCAGATGTGGCTGTCTGGAAACATAAATTTATTCCATGATAATTCCCATCATCACTATGAGCGCACTATGAACCCCACAATTTTATGCAGCTAACATTTTCGTAGACAATGGACTAAATTGGAAAAATAAAGTCGGCATGGCTAGCGGCAAGGCGACACAAGCGTCTAGAAGCAGAAGAGAGGAGAGAAGAAGAAGAAGAAAAAGTCGCGACACAATTAACTTTTTATACCGAATTCCATCTCAGATTACATGACAGATTAATGTCCAGATGTTTGGTTAAGGTTTCATCGATAAGCGATAAGTAACAATAATACGATGACTTCGTGAAAGTACGTCGCAACGCATTGGAGATGGTTCTCTGCATTATAACGAAAAGAAACCTTACTGCGTAGTTGAAAATATGGATGCATAAACCAAAAAAACTTCCAGATGTGGCCGTTTGGAAACTTAAGTTTCATTGCATGATAATACACAGCATCACTATGGTTGCGTTATATATATATATATATATATATATCATATTTATAAAACCAAATATCATATTTATAAAATCATATATATATATATATATGATTTTATAAATATGATTTAAGGAGCGACGGAGCTTGATACATGAAAGGTATCAGCAGTCGTAGTGGCCAATTGAACTTTTTTATTTTTGATAAATACGATAACGTTAACTACACTGCATAATAGGTGCAGTCTGTGCATCCATCCTTGACCACATTTGTGCCTTTTCTACGTTTTTATAACAATCAGTTTCGATGGCAGAAAGAACGGAAGGCGACAAATAAGTTGATAGGAGAGAAGTGAGAGAAAGAATATGATGTGTCCAAGGTTCAGAGTAAATCCATATAAGTTCATTTCATTCTGATAGGTTAATTTTAAGTTTCGATTTGCAAATTCAAAATTAATGTTAGCTGCAGCTTTAAGTAAGTACCAATGTCATTAGCATTATGGAAGATTCATGCGACATGGTTTAATTTAAAAAAACACCGACCGGAACAGTTTATTATAAACAGTTACTATTCTTAGAACAGAAAGGATATATATTCAATTTAAAATAGAGGGTTAAGAGATCATTGCAAATTAAATGAAGAATTTTAATTTATATATTTTTATCTTACACATTCATACACACACAGGCGCACATATAAATAGACAGATAAATAGCTTCTGATCTAACTAAACGATTCTTTTGTCGAGAACCAGAGATTACTCGTCGAAAACTGTAGGCAAAAAGAAAACTGAACGATTCTTTTGTCGAAAACCAAATTTCACATATTGAAAACTGTAGGGAAAAGAAACGAACTATACTAAATAGTTGACAATTTTCATAAAATTTGAGTAATTGTAAGCAATTTCATTTTTCATTAGTGCATACTGATAAAGAACATATCCTAACATGTGCATATTAACCGATTTAATAAGTTTTCAGTGCTTATTTTGAATAATTTTGAAAACTCAGTAAATTTGTCAGACTATTTTATCTCTGATTTTCATTGAATTTCTGCAGGTCGTCCTAACAGTGCTGCACCAGACGAAGTTATTTTTGCCATTGACCAGCTTTTAGTAGCTAAAAAAGAAAATGAAACCAATTCTGAAGGTGTCAAAGGAAAGGTCAGTTGTTATGTTTTTAAATTTTCCTAAATAATCTTCAGTAGTGATTGCAGAATTCTATTTTATAAAACCAACTAAACTCTAGAGTCGTGCTTAATATTATTATTCGTATTAAGATCTAAGAATAATGGGGCTCTTTGGATTATGATAGACATATATCATGAGAATCCTACTGTAATTCGAAAACTAGTGTTTAGGAAACTTACAGTTGAGCTGAATCATTTAACAAGTAGACCATTTTATGAGAGTTTTAAATACCTTGAACAACTTATTTAATATTGTACTGAAATCCGAAGCAGTATCTTTCTAAACTGTAGAACTAAACGTTCTACACTGTATCGTTCTAAACTGTATCGTTCTAAACTGTAGTTCTAAACTGTATCGTTCTAAACTGTAGTTCTAAACTGTATCGTTCTAAACTGTAGTTCTAAACTGTATCGGTCTAAACTGTAGAATTATCTAAATGGGACATTTAGATAATTTGGAGTGTTAATAAGCAGCAATAATTAATAAGCAGTAATAATAATAATAATAATTGGAATTAATAAGCAGCAATACGAAATGAGGTAACGGGAATAAATTGCAATATTAACGTTTTGATTGATTTATGCGATTACGGCAAAACCTCGGGGGCTATCTGTCTAAATGGAAGGATGCCATCGTGAAGGAATTTTCAAGGTAAACTGGCTAGTATACCCGTTACACATTGTAAAAAACACGAAATCGCCCATGCAGCCAACCCATTCGCAGGGTTCGAATCTAGGAGCGAACTACCACTGTTTAGCTATTGACTTGTGGGCTATATTAAGATTTCGAAGATCAAATAGAAATTATTTTGCCACCAGTCAATGGAGCGAGGATGTTTGTAAATGTATACTGTCTTTGCGACATGGGAGCACGCTAAACCTACATAGAACAAAACGGAAAAACGTACACACGATGTAAGAATCTAGCAGAAAAGAAATAATGTAAATAAAAGAAATATTACATAAAACCGCAACCAAACTAGAACTTACATAAAACTTCCAATCCATATCAGATTTTAAGGTATTCGAAAACTGCACTGGCATATTCAATGACTCAGAAAGTGAGTGTATTAATATCGCAATAGTTAATTCAGCTTCAAATTAAAGTTGATTATATTTTCTTTTTACAGGTAGTGATTTATTTTAATTTTGATGCCAACGAAAATTCAGCTAGACCTAGTGCATCAGAAACTAAACTGAAGAAAGCATTAGCAGATCTTCATTTACGCCATCTAGGTAAAAGGTCCTTTTTTAAGTCTATCAGTTACTCCAGTATCTTGATTAATTAAGTGGAAATTTACAATTATCTAAAATATTAAACAACTTTAAAAATTGAAAAATTTTAAAGCAGATTTCTAGAGAGAAGCATAAAACAGCAGTTAATATCATAATTTTTCAAAGCAAGGTATTTCAAACTTTAAAAAAAAAAATATATCAAGGTTTAGCAATGAAGGTGTTTTGAATAATAAAAATATTTAACACATTTTAAAATAAAATTTTAACCAGATATATTTCTGAAATGATTTGATTGAAAGAAAAATTCATTCTTCTTTCATATGTTATTAATAAAAACAACTACGGCTATTCCTGGAAATTTTTAAAAAAACAGAAATTAAATTGTAATTTCAATATGAAATTAGCCAAAAAAATTATCTAAAATGCGAAAATTAGTCACCTAGCTTAAATAAATACATGTATGAATAATTACAAACGTATGAAAACGGAACGTAAAGACCACAAGGTAATGAGGTTTTTAAATACCTTGTAAGGATCCTAAGTTTTACTAACGTTTATTTTATTTTAAAACTGTACTGTCACTTCTTATTCTCTACTTCCGGCCAGAATTAAACGCTTTAACTTATTTATGCAAATTGTCTTGCTAACGCCAAGTACTTAAGTTGAGGCTTTTTGCCAAGCAAGAGAGAGGAAGGAGTTATTGGAAGCAAGCCGCTTGCCATTGTAGTTTTACGAGTTTTCGCTCTGTTGCTGGTTGCCTTCAAGGCCAGAGGTTTAGTCCTCTTGATAATTGCAAACGTATCGTAGTTTTAGCAGCTCGGCGTACTACATACGGACCTTTGTTAAAATAAAGGCCAATCTTAATGCTAGGCACTTGTATACTAATTTAAAGTTAGAGTTTTAATTAGTAGTTCTTATATTCTTACGTTCAGACCACAAGTGGTTGGTCTCTGTATTCCGAAGTTTCGGAAATTCCTGTAAAGATAGAAAATAAAGGGTTTCGTATACCCTTCCTGCTTGTATTGTCTACTTCACAATTTCTTGAACATAGCTTGAGTAAGCTCCCTGTTCCGAGTCAGGACAATTCATGTTTCCAAAGCAAGTCAAGAGGAATACAGGTCCTGATAACCTAACATAAATTTCAACTTTTTTTATTATCAGCACTAAAATATGAAAATCATCTGTTAATGTTATCTCTAAAAACATCTGCTTGAATGAGTACATAAAGTATATTTTTCTAGGTCAAAGTTTTGAAAGTGTTAAATTGAAAGTGAAAAATAATTATTTTATTTAAATAGTTACCGTATTTGCCAGAAGATGGCAGCACCACAAGACTGGTTAAATAGCTGAGAAATGTAAAGAAGCTTTGATTTCAAGTAAACTGTAACCGCTTTTACATCTATGAATTACGCATATACAAAATATAAATCCCTTTCGTTACCAGTTCTTTTTTCTTAGTGTGTATTTTTTGTGGCTGTTTAATTTTTTTCTTTCATTTAAATATATAAAAAAGACAGTAAAGTAGAAGGGCATACACTTTTAAGAGGATTTTAAGTGAATTTAGATTAATCAGAATAAATATAAATTGACTGTCATTTATCAAGCTAAAGAAATTATTTAATGACAATAGCTAAAGCTAAAGAAATTATTTAATGACAATGTATTAAAATAAACATGTTTTTGGCCTTAAAGCAATTATGAGAATATTTAGAAAGCGAAATTTGCCCTGATATTTTGAGTTTTAAGTTTTAAATTTAAATAGTTTTCACACTGTGTATACTTTTTTAGATGCTTCTCTTTCCCTTTATTAAAAATATACCATTTGCCTTGAAATATATCTTACAGAGTTTTGTAAGCCCTGAAATTTTGTAATTTTTTTCCTTCTTCTTCCAGATGTTGCTTTTTTTGCTCTGGGTATTGAAGAAAGTGTGTTAAAGAAGTTCGCTAAGTTTGACAAAAACTTTTATATGATAGCAGACACTACAGAAGAGCATCAGCGGGAATTTGTCAAGAAAGTAAACTCAAGTAACTAAATTTCGCTCATAATTCCTTCTTCTTTTAGATAGTATGCAATTTTACAAATATTTTATGTATGATTTATAAAAGAATATTATTTAACTATAAAAATTATTAATATTATAAATTTAAAAGATCGTAGTATATAAATAAATAAATTATAAATTAAATTATAAATTATAATTATAATGAATTATAAATTATAAAAATAATTAATTATAAATTATAAAAATAATTATAATTAATTATAAGTTATAAAAATTATTATAGGTAAGTTGTAAATTATAAAAATTATTAATATACAAAATTATTAATATTGCTATTCTGACGTATGTAAACCACATAATGTTTAAAACAATGTTTTAAAAGTATTGCTTCCAGTATTTGCGTTGGTACTATTATTGCTTCTAACTGAAGTAACAACTTATGGGGTTTTAAGAAGGAAATGTGCAATTTAAAAAATATACAGATGGTTTCTACACATTTTAGAATGATTTCGGAGCCGTTTAATGTATGTCTAAAATGTAAAGAGCATTTTTTTAAATATATTTTTAAATATATAGATAGTCAATCTGATAATCTTTTTCTGCACTGTTTCGTGACTTCCATAATGGAAGGGCTGATGTCCTGATTATAGTGGGAAAAAGAGATAGAATCTCTTCTGTAAATATAAGACGCAAAATTTTCTCTTGATAGAACGTTGAGTTTGTTTTAATGTCTTTCCCCACTCTTCTAATTTTTAATTTTTCTCTGTAACAGAGTCCTATGACAATCATGACTTTTTTTTGCATTGCCAGAACCAGGATTCTGTGTTTTTTTCTTTTCGTTTACGATAATAAATAGCCCATTTTTTGTTACAGTCATTTAAGTAAATCTATGCTTCATCAACGGTCACAATGTATTTCGATTTATCTCCTGTAGAATAATTTTCGTGCAAGGTTCTGTAAATTGTTCTACGTTCTACGCCACATGCCTCAGCAAAAGCTGGTGAACATTAGCTTATTTAAGTACTGATTCTTGGTTTATTATTTTATTTATTGTTGCTACAAATGTGTTTAGAGACTTTGCAATTGATTTTGCCTCTGCCAATTTCTCTTGATACCACCGATTTAACTTTAGAAACATCTGAAGCAGTACATACGTTTCTCAGGTATTCGTTTGGAGTCTTCTTCTCACGTTGAAGTAACGATTGGTGGATTTTCGCTTTCCGGTTTATAATGTTGCTTATTTTGCACTTCAAAATTTAAACACCATGCATTTTATAACGTATTTGAACTAGGAAACGGAAATATTTCTCTTTGGAAAGCGCAAAAACATTTCTTCAATCCACCGTTTGTTTGCATTTTGAAAGAAGAAGCAATATAAAAAAAGCAGTCGATATTTTTCATTTCAAATAATAGGCTGTTGCCCAAACTATTCAAACTAAATCATTTGTGCTTTTTGAATTCTTTATCGGAATAGTTCTAAAAATGTGTAAACACCCTTTGTACATAACGAATCTAAGACACCTAAAAGCTCACAAGGTGCCATAATTTAACAACACACATCCAATTTCTGAATATTTCAAAAATATAGGTACATCCATGTTTTAAAAATATTTAGAATTTTTTATATATTTAGAATATTACTAATGTGATAATTTGTCGTGGTTGACACGAGTTGGAACGGTGGTTAGTTCCTTTTCCTATAACCAGTCCCGATGAAGAGGCAAAAAAGTCTAGGGCCTGGATAAATATGTATTTTAGGAGTTTCTTAGCTTATTTTTGCTTTTTGTGTGACCGAAAAAACAGAGTTATAAGCAACTACAGGCTCACTTTGTGTTCTCTTAAAACCTGAAACACTAAGCACGGCCTTTGCGGGCTTCGGTATTTAGAATCTTTTAACGATCATCTACGGAGATGTCGGTCCGGGATTCGAAATCCAGCGAACGGGCTGGCTGCATAGGCGTTTTTGTTGTTTTCTCCGTGTGTAGACATGTACGAGACAGTTTCCCTTAGAAGGTCCTTCACAAAAGCTTCCCTTCCCTTAGGCATATAGCCCTCATGTGTTTGCCGTAATCAAATAAATCAAATAAAACCTACGGAAATGTGTGTATGACAATTTCTATGCGTGCGGCTAAGAATCTATAGATGTAATCGGGGGGCGGGACATTTGCCTATTGCAATCTAAGAAACATAAATTTTTGCATATGGGTAATAAACTACACACTTGAACGCATTTACAGACAGTTTCGGCTATTTTTAATTGCTTCCATTTATATTATTTACAATGTATCAATCGGCTCTATACCACATTGCACTTATTTTAGTTTTGAGAGATCTGTAATAATCTATTATGTTATTTATATTTACTTCATAGTTCCTGCGATTTTGAAGTATGAGGATTGTATCGAAAGAAGAAGTGAGCGCAGCGCCATTTACGAAGATTTCGTGTCTCCAAGTGCAACTCAACACTGGAAGATGCCAGCGAAATATTTCTACAAAAGTACATCATTAAAAATTGTCGTAAGTATACGAGTTCAACTTACTGAATCGTATCGTCCTTCCCCCCCAATTATTTTCATCGTATTAATTGTCTTGAAACTTCCATCACATAATCTCCATATTCTAAACACTCTACCATACCATCATTCTACTGGTACATAAGAGACAGACTAAATATCTATATTAAAGATAAACTACATTTACTAACTACAGAAGGTGTTTACAGATTTTTAGAACGATTTCGATATAGAGTTTTAAATAAAAAGCAAGTAGAAGATGTTTTGGCACAAGAATTTCTTAACAGCTTGAAATGAGAAATATCGTCTGCTACTTTTACATCTATTCCTTTTTCAAAATGTCGCATGTAAACAAGCTGTGGATTGAAGAATATGTTTTTGCGCTTTCCGAAGAGCAATATACCTGTTCCCTAACTCAGATATGTTATAAAATGCATAGTATTAATATATCTAAGTGCAAAATAAGCAACATTAGTAATTAAAAAGGAAAAACTTCGTAAGTCATTACTTCTACATGAAAAGATGGCCTTTAAACGAATACTTGGAAAAGGTGCTTATTGTTTATAATGTCTCTAAAGTTAAGTCGTTGGTAACAAAAGAAAATCCACCGTCACTAAAATCAGTAGCAAATTCTTTAAATACATCTGTAGCAATAATAAATAAAATAATAAGCAGAGATTTCTTTTTAAAAAACCTAAAAAACAGCATTTCCACCAGCTTTTGCATGTGGCTCAATGAAGAACAAGTTGTAGAACCTTGTATGAAAATTTTTATACATCGTGCATCTTGATGAAGCAGGGCTGGTTTACCTAAGTGGTTCTAACGAAAAAAAGTTTAATTTACTATCGTGGACGAAGAGAAAAAATGTACAAAATCTGGTTCGGTCAAGGCAAGGAAATTTTAGTAAGGGATTTATGATTGTCACAGAAATTGAATAGGGAAGAAAGGGAATTAAAATTGGAAATTAAAAATAAGAAGAGAGGGGGAGTCAACACGAATTCTACGTTCTATCGAGAAAAGGTTATACTTCACATACGTACAGAAGAAATTCTATTTCTGTATCACAGTGACTTTCAAATAGTGAAAATTCATCAAGACAAAACAACATATCATGCTTCGAAACGTACCACTAAATTCCTTGAGCGATACAGGGATACAGGTATGGTATATCTACCTTATGTATTACTGCGAAATTTCCTTACGTTTCATCCCCTGACGGTCCCCTGACGTAATTACTTGACGGTCAAAGTAGTGGAAAAAGAATAGAAACAAATAACCCTGGAAATTTTGTGAAAAGCTCTTCCGTCATTGAAATCACGAAGCAGACTTAAGATGGCTATCAGATCGAACATTTGAAAAAGTACTCTTTATGCTTTAAGCATTAATTAAATGACCTTGAAATCGTTCTAAAAATGTATAATCACCCTTTCTATTAATAACATTTGGCAAAACCTTTTGTAGAGTTACGGTATCTTAAATTTAAATTAATAAACATAAGAATACATCAATGCGAGTGGACTGTAGTTTAACCTTTATTCAGCAGTTTCAACTTTAGAACACAACACAGCAAAAAGTAAAGCAAGAAAATTACAATTAGCGTTTGCACGAATGCAAAAACAAAATGCGAGTTGCGCACACGATCTGCACATTGCGAAATAATATCTCACAGACAGGCAGAGGACCCAGGTGGCCGAAACACCTTTGCAGTTCCGATAAGTTTTGAGTATTCAATAACAAGAAATTGGTACCTAAATGTTAATATCCATTCCGGGCGAGGAATATGTTATTTTCAAGTGATCAAATCAAGTATGCAACTACGTGGTTATAATATTACTGTTTTACCCATCTTGTTGAGCCTTACCATATACGCAAACTCGATTTAAAAATTTTATAAAACTTGTAGAGGTTATTTTACGTTTTTAACACTTATTTTAATTTTTAAACATGTTTTATTGTCTATTCTCATTTCCCACCTACTCTTTCTTTGCCAAAATAAAGTTTTTACTATCACGCTACATGTAAATGATACCTCATTTTATTACCTGAAAGAGTATTTAAAGGAAGGTTTCGTTTACTTCAGCAGAAGAGCTTAGGAATCCTTAGTGGTGCGTGTTTGCCGTCCGGCTAATTTGTTGTTTAAAGCTAACTACACTCGGCTGTATTGTAAGTGCCTGCTGATATTCGCCGGTTAATTTAATTAAAGGCCAACTACGTTAGGTAATTTTGTACAGCTTAGGCTTAGTTCATTTTAATTTAGTACTAGATTAGTTTCATATCTTGAGTTCAAGCCCAAGGGGAGGCTTTTCTGTAAGCCCGAGAAAGGAGCTATCTGTCTTCTTAGTTTGAGGTAAAAAAAGGATGAGTTCTGTGGACTTTTCATTTGTACACTTGAGCTCAACGATAAGTCGCTACGCAGTTTTATACCATAGGTTAACCATAGACAGTGTAGATTACAAGCTGTACTGGTTTTAGAATGTTCGTCTTCGTTCAGTATTTCATCCTTTAGCACTTTGTATTTATGGTGCCTTAGTTATTTTGCATCGAGACATTAAATTATGTAATAATATTTGAACTATTACCGTCTACAAAAGAATCATTTGCAAAAACGGTGACAGTTCTCATGTCCAAAACATCTAATCTTTATAATATTCTTACGTCCTAAAATACACTTTAATAATTAGACACGATGTCAAGGCAAATACAATTATGATTGTTATCAGCTTATGCCATTTTAAATATACTTTTGTTCATTCATTTATATGCATAGAAGTGAAAACAGATGTATAAAGAACAAAAAAAGTTTAAAATAAATTATGTATTATGAAATTAGCCTTAAGAATATGTCAAACAAAGAATTTGGAAGAAGCAAACGTAGAATTTAGAAGACATTCGAAAGAAATAAAACATAGAGTTAAGAAAGAATATGCATAGAGTAAATAGAGAAATGATTACTAGCATTCCTTCAGCATAAAAAATTATGCAGTTATAAATATATATCAGAGTACTTTAGATTTCATAGTTCAAAGTTGACGCATTTAGAAGATTTAGGAAATTCTTCTGTTATAAATCATGAGCACAAAAATCTTATCTCTAAAGGCGTAATGCTATTATTCTAACTTCTAGAAACATGTAATACCACCGTTTTCGTTAGATAATTTTTTTTTACCTATGTGCAAAACTTGTTTGCTTTTTATTATTGTTGTTGTTGTTGTTATTATTATTATTATTGTTGTTGTTGTTATTGTTATAATTATTATTATTATTGTTATTATTATATCATATATATTATTATTATTGTTGTTGTTGTTGTTGTTGTTATTGTATTATTAGTATTATTAATATTGTTGTTATTGTTATTATTATTATTATTACTGTTGTTATTATTATTGTTGTGTTTGTTGTTATTATTGTTGTTGTTGTTATTATTATTATTATTTGGTAAAATACGTGGAATTACTTTTCTTAACTTTTACCTATACAAGGGAAAATTTTCTTTTACTGGCATTCGACAAATATGCAAATTATTGAAATTATTTTATTCTTATGCAATCATTTATTATATGCAATTATTTTCTTTTTATTAGCTTTCGAGTAGATCAGGGAATAATGGGAGAACATTTTTTTTAATTTATTTTCTGGAAGCTGTAATCAGATTCTGGAAATTATGTTCTTCGCATAGCTGCAAAGGCTTTTCGGAAAAACATAATGAAAAACCATAATACATACTTCAGTAATTTTATCTGACAGATTGCAAAAATTATATAACATTTATGCAAAACATCAAAACAAAAGTAGCATGAATATCTTTGAGAGTGGAAGTAGTTTCTGGAGAAAAAAAAAAAAAAAAATTCGTTTGAATGTGTTAGTAAGTCTTAATTTTTGCAACTGCTCAGAAATAAAAAGCATCTAAAAATTAATTACATTAATCATAAATACGAAATAATATTTATTTCCTAACGAGTAAGATTATCGTAAACCCTCGCTAAGACGAATCTCAAGGGACCGAAAAATAGAGAATTCGTGTTAAAAAAATTCGGGTTAAGTGAGACTCAAATGTTATTTTTGGAGTAATATTTTCTAGAAATTAAGCGTTTACAGTACATAGTTACATAAGTACTACAATATATTATGTAGGTCGTCATGGGAAAAACAGCACTACATTGATTACTGTATTGTAATTTGAAAAAATGTGTCCACATATCATCAGCTTCAGGGGCAACAGTATTCATGGCTTCTGTAGAACTAGCTGTCAATTCGGATGTTACAACAAAACGTTCTACAATGTCCAAAGCGTGTACCATTTTCGATGGGTGGTAGGAATGATACTGTCCTCCTCATTATGGCTTCTGTAGAACAAGCTGTCAATTCGGATGTTACAACAAAAAGTTCTCCAGTGTCCAAGGCATGTACCATTTTCGATGGGTGGTAGGAATGATACTGTCCTCTTCATTATGGCTTCTGTAGAACTAGCTGTCAATTCGGATATACAACAAACCGTTCTACAGTATCCAAGGCGTGTACCATTTTCGATGGGTGGTAGGAAGGATACTGTCTTCTTCATTATGGCTTCTGTAGAACTAGCCGTCAACTCGGATATTACAACAAACCGTTCTACAGTGTCCAAGGCCTGTACCATTTTCGATTGGTGGTAGGAATGATACTGTCTTTTTCATTATGGCTTCAGTAGAACTAGCTGTCAATTCGGATATTACAACAAACCGTTCTACAGTGTCGAAGGCGTGTACCATTTTCGATGGGTGGTAGGAATGATACTGTCTTCTTCATTATGGCTTCTGTAGAACTAGCTGTCAATTCGGATATTACAACAAACCGTTCTACAGTATCCAAGGCGTGTACCATTTTCGATGGGTGGTAGGAATGATACTGTCCTCTTCATTATGTCTTCTGTAGAAGAAGCTGTCAATTCGGATGTTACAACAAAACGTTCTACAGTGTGCCCAAGGTGTGTACCATTTTCGATGGGTGGGAGGAATGATACTTACCTCTTCATTTTCTTCTGATGACATTTCTTGCACCTCAGACACAACTGCTTGCACACCAGACTCCATTATAACAAACACGGCAACATTTTCATCTGCACCAATGAGCTCATCAAAACTCATCGTTGAGTCGATAATCGTGATTGTCGAGAAATGTTACTCAGGCTGGCTATGTTTTAAAGAATACGGTGTATTCTCTGAGGTTTTCAATTAAATTTGATGGAAATTTTCCGAACGCTATCTTGGTAAAGAAACAAAAGGGAAAAATGAAAAACTTTGAAAATTCGTGTTAAAACATAAAACGCAACTAACGACGCAACGGACTAAAAAATAGTTTTCAAATAGTTAGTTATACTTATATAAAACTTTGAGTTAACTGATATCTTGTAAGATCATATACATCGCGGCGACGACTGAAATTTTTTTCATGTTAACAGTGTGTTCGCCTTTAATCAGTTCGTGTTAAGAGGGGTGTACTGTATTTTATTATGGATACTAAACTACCCATTTAGTATCTGAAAGGCAATGTAAAGGAATATTCAATATCCAATGGAACAAGAAGTTTAAATTTATTTGCAAGAACAAAAATCAATAAATGCTAAATAATGTTCGAGTAAAAGAAATAATGCTCTAATGTAATAACACTCATTTATGTTCTATTAAAAGAAATAATGCTCTAATTTAATAACGCTCAGTTATGTTCTATTAAAAGAAATTGAGTAGCGTATTTTGCTTAAGCCTTTAGTTTCCTCTTCCTTCCAAGGTTGTCATAGTGGTATGAAACTCGAAAGTAATGCGTAGTAAAACTACCGGCATTTAAAATTGCAAAAATAGGAAAGAAGCGAAATTTACATGAGGCATAGTCATGGGAATACATGTAAATGAGTAGCACTGCAAATCATGTGTATATAATTTAAAGCGTGAAAGCAGCATGAAACTAGAATAAAACCGCTATTAAGCGTTAAAATTTCATTTTCTAGCCGATATTGTACAGAAGCTCTTAATTTACAACTTGTCGAAGAACACAGCAGCCATGTTAGCAACATTCTGGGTTTGATCGAGCAAACTTGTGCTGTATTATAAACTGTTGTTTTCCTGGTGCTCGTGGTGAATGAAGCGTGGCGACAAGAATGTAAATATGGAATCGATGGTTTGAGAAAGAACGAACTGAACAACATGAAGGATCCTAGCAGCTTCGTCACGCCTCTGGCGATTAAACATTTTGGACACACAGATTTTTGATTAGACAGACTCAGTATAGCTACTGTAGATAGCGCAATCATATCGCGAACCTTAGCTCAAGAATAATGTACATTACACAATTTAGTCGTCCATGCATATGGTTCGATGATATCTGTAGCTTCGAACAAATTTTGTAGTTCTTCAATGCTTTTGCACCATAAACGGTCCTCATTGCTGCCTTTACACCATAAACGTTTGGGGCTTCATTGGTGCCTAGAATGTTGTGAATAAAGACACAAATGACATAATATCGTCTTGTTGCATTAATCCTGCTTTTGCCTTTGCACCATTTAATGGTTACATCCGTATTTGGAGATATTGCGGCAATAGACTCTATGAGTATTGCATTTATACACCACCATATCAGTTTGGCATTCGATTTTATGATTTGAATACAACAAAATCACTCACTTCTTTGCTTTTAACACTCACCAAACACATCTTCCACTCACTTCCACTCACATCTTTGCTTTTAACATCATCTATTAGATATCTCAGATATTCGATGTTGCTTTCTTTTATCTCCAAACCCTGCTTGAAGACAATTGCAAACAAGATACTATACCATTGTGTGTGGCACGCAAATTCCAAAACTTTGGCATATGTGAAATCCACGGAATGAGCACATTTGGTTCCTTATCCCACAAAAACTGACACACCACAGAACACCCGTAGCTAAACACAAATAAACTCTGGTAGCGTATCAAATGCGCATAAACTGAGGTACTCCAAATATGCATCCATTGCCTATTCCTGTCTATGTGTGTCTTGTAATAATAGTTATTGCCATCTATGAAGAAATGCTGATTGCTTTAATTTCCCGCAATCTAAACTAAGCTGTGATTGCATATTTTTTCCCTTATAGCATACGTTACTTGTAAAATAAATATGTATTCATTATTTTACACTTTTAAGAGACACCAGACATATTTGAGCTTCAAGAGACTTTAATATTCTATCATACTAATTCTTGTGATCATTTGTTTATCATATTTTTGTATTCTTAGGCAGTAATTTATGGCATGCTTAATGTGTAACTTTTTTAATAAAGCTCCCATTAATTTTTTATTCTTTTAACATGATTCAGTTAACTGAATGAATAATGCAAAACCTTCGTATCTTATTTAACTGCCATATGTATTAGTTTTATTTATATACTTTTGTTTGTCAACAGTTTGAGTCACTAGATGGAAGCATCCAAGTATGTTACAATCGGGCGACTTTAGCTCCAGAAGATGAAATAAGGTCGTGCCAAAACATTACGAATGGACGTAAGTGTTTGTAATACAATTAATATGTATCATAGGTTTGATAAATATAATATATTTTTATAGATCCTCATAATCGTCAGATCTCTCGTATTTAATTATTCCAGTCTACCACATCATTCCAGTCTCGCATTTAATTATTCCTGTCTATGTTAGCCACTCTCGTCACAGATTTCGTCGTCTGTAACTTCTCGTCACAGAATTTAATACTAATTAATTCTTTGTTTAAGCGGTTTGCATGCACAAATATGACTGCTGTAGTGAAAAGTAAAGGCCTTTATCAAACTATTTACCCTCTCGAATCAAGGCCAGTTCATTATAATTTTTCGAATTTAATTTTTAAAATGGTTGTTTTTCGAAATAAAACGTCATTTGCGGAAACAAATTTTATTTTCTGCAAAAATTTTAGCGGACTTTCTTCCTTTAGAGACAAATTCCACAAGCATATATTTTAAAATTGAGATTAATTACTAAAATATCTCAGGGTTCCTTTAAGAAAAACAGTTGCAGTGTGTAATGCAACAAAAACAGCGCATACGAAAATGGCGTCATTTCTTTTCAAACTGATGCTTATGAACATGGCTGCCAGAATTTGGCGACTTCTGAAAATTTAGTGACATCCAATAAGGTGGTTGCGGTAATAAATAAGTAATATTTATTGTTCGGAATCTGACACTCTTGATAGGCATTCGAATTTTTTATACAATTAAAAATACAGTTACGTTTGAAATTAAAGAAAAAAAAAACTTTTCAAAATTGTGGAATTTTTCTGCAATTTTCATATTTTTCAATTTTGCGGGCGAATTGAAAATGCTACTTTCCATTAAATGAAAATGTCATATTTTATTATATAAATATAGTAAATACCAAATAAAAATAACATAATATTGTATAAAAATCACATTTGCTTTGTAATAAACATATACTACGTATGTATAAACATAGTAAACATTTACTATGTATGTATAAAACATATGCTATGTATATATAAACATAAACATAGTAAACATTTACAATGTATTGCATAAAAACGTAATAAACATTTACTGTGTGTATATAAACACAGTAAATGTCATATAACAGTCATAAAAAATGATTGTATTCTGTAACATACAGTCATTTTCATACACAGTTCTAATACTTCATTTGTTAATTATATTTTATTCCTGTTTTCCATTTTTAAAATACGTTTTCGTCGTAGAAGAATAAACTGGACAGATTGTTTTCTAGGTGGTATATAGTTAAATGAATATTCACCGTATTTTTATTCTGATTTAGATGTTTTGCTAGTAGATATTTGGTATTAATGCATTGCTCGAAAAAACAATCATACCTCTTATTACACATATAAAATAACTTATACGAAAACATTGTATCTGCAAATACCTGATTCTCTTTTTTAGAAAAAACTGTCGAATTCAAGAGCACCAACCCATGTCAAAGTAAGTAATTTTTTTTTTCGTTTATCTATATTTCATTAAAATGTTTTTGGTGTGTATAAAAATTTCAATAATTTTCTATTTCACTTAATTCATTTCACTTCAAAGTTTCTTGTGAAACTGCCTTTTTGAGTGACTTTTTGTTCCTAAATCTTAAATCCTGAATAAAAATTAGCTAACGCAGATTTCTGCATATAAGTTTCATATGCAAAAGATACAAAACAGCGACATCATTTTGAATAAGAAATGTGGTTTTGGCAACAGTTTTTCATTCAATTGTATACTGGACTGCTGACTGTTGAAAATCAGCACTGTTGCCACTTGGGAAAATGTGCAGTTTTTTAATTATGTGCAGCTTTTTAATTTTAATGTTTCTCTTGGATCCTAGACGTTTTTTGAGAGAAGGCAACGGGAAGTTGGTTTATTTGTTAGGAATTATTTATTATTTATTATTAAGGAATATTGCTTATTTCATTTTAATTTTGCTCTATGTAATACATTTTTTATTTATTTATTTATGAAGTTGTTCTGCAGAGTAAAATTCTGGGCAGTTTTTAAATTTAACGTTTGGTGTTGTTCCCTCCAGGCATTTTTCTAGTACATTTAAAAGCCAGACGAAGGGTGGCAGCGTAGCTGCTAGTAATAAATAAAATATAACAGCGTAAGCAAGCAAACAATAAAGCCAAGCGATTTTTTAAACGCTACCAAAATGCGAAAATAAAAAAATGGCAGACGATAATTTTATTTATGAAATTTTACGAAAATGTTTCAGCGTACGATAACTTTTGTGGCGTGTTTTACCTAATTTCAGTTTTCGAAAAAGAAAATAAGAGAGTATTAAAAAAAGTTTGTTTTTTTTTTTTTTTTTTCAAAATCACATGAGCATGATATGAAAAAATATTGGGCTTTATATTCAAATTCAGTTCCGGCCTACACCGCATTTTTTGCAATATCTTAATTCTTAAAGTATACGAACTCTTTTGAGAGTCACTATATGTTGTTTGATGTATCTTACTTGTCATTAAACTCTATATACTGTATGTTTTGTTAATTTTAAAAGAAAAATATCCACTCAGTCAAAGATTTCAATTCTGATAGCATTTGAATTTTTTTGGTAGAATTCTAATTTTTCACACAAACGATTTGAAGTACATATCTAATCAAATGAAATGCACTATATACGAAGAGATTACTACAAGCTTATAAAATATATCATTATTTTTTTGGCCCTGTTATTTTCACTTTTTCTGTTAAGTATATTTTTAGCCCAAAGGAGCGTTAGCTCAGAAGGGCTATTAATTTCGTTTTGCCAATTTGCGTCGATTCACTTTCTGTGTTGATTCACTTTTCAAACTGTTGCCACCAAATATTATCACCCTGTTTTATATTTGAAGAAATTAAATAATGAAGAATCTGCATAAATGTATGTATGTTTCTTGCAATGTGATAAAAGAACGGTATCTAGAGCCATCAAATTGTGAATAACATAATATTCCACATGGGCATCTGGAAGCCCTAATTTGCAATTTAGGGTTTGTTTTATTGCCGATTTAATATTTTGTAACACTTTAACGAACTCTATATTAAACTCAACGATTTCAAAGCGAGCAATGGCAATACTGTACGGAGGGGGGAAAAAAACATTTGAATCTTCAGCGCGCGAAACTGTATATCGGAAATTCTAAAGATATGCTCATTTTAAAATTATTTTGCGATATTGCTGTTAAAGTAATCTTTTAGACTATGTTTTAATTTTTTTATTTTCTTTTATTTTATTTGTTATAATTCTATTTTAGACTGGACCAGCAGGAATTTAATACTTTTTGTTTTCACTTTATAGGTTTCACTGATGTAACATGTGCCCCATTCTTCTTTTCTCTGAAGGGTATAAATGCATCAGATCCAACAACTTCAAAATATTTTTGCTCAGACAGAAATACTGGTAATTGTTTTAATCTTGCTTTTGAACATAAATTTTTTTTAGCACAGCTTTAGTATAAACCACCAAGAATTTTAACCAAAAAATATCACCAGGAATGGAGATAAATGATATGATGTGGTAACACGAACTATTCGCCAAACGCAATGTAAACAAGAGGATGGAACTGCGGTTACAGCTAACATAGTGGTCAATTACATTTATTCAATTTCAATAGAAATTACCGAGATATCCATTTACTCAAATTTCAAAGAGTAAGAATACGTGCCCTGTATTCTTACTTTTCCTGCATAGATTTCTCTTAAAATTTGTCTCGCGCTGCACTGCACGGGAAAATACAACATTTTTAATTAAAATTCTACTAAAATTTATATCTAAATACACAATTCGTAACACTGCTATCGGCAATTGTTTAACGCTCAGATATCGTGGATAATACTGTTTTGGATATATTTTTTGGGCTACTTTGGAGGTGAGATTTTTGCATTTAGTTATGGCTTGCTCTAAACCTGCTGCTAGTAATGTTGTAATTAAGTATCAGGAGATTTTAAAGGAAAATTTAAGGTGAGAGTTTTCAAACAAGCGTAAAAGTTTAGGAAAGCCAGGCATTCTAAACAGATATTTTATGTATGAATCAACAAGAGAGTATGAACATTTTAGAGGATTTTTGATGGATTGTGGACTATTCCTATGGGCGTAATATAAAATGTGAAAGCTTTTTTTTTTTTAATTGCCTTCCACTATGGTTGCAAATCTTAACTCGCCAACCTGTAGTTACTGTGATCAAAAGTCTTTTGATTACAACCGAATAATTAACTATAAGTTAATTTTTTGTAGGTATCTATGCATTGCAGTTTAATGAAGCTCTGTGACAGTTATATGCGTGGATCAGTGAAAGTCTAGCAAGTTAAATAACAATAAAAGATGAAGTATTAAGCCCTAGACTTTAAAAAGATCCTCAGATGGGATATTGGTTACTAACTCTGACTGCCGTATTGAAGGGCCCGGGTTCGAATTCCGGTGAAGACATGGTTGTTTGAAATTGTGTAGTGCCTTTGCGGGATGGGGCATTAAATATATGGCGAGCGGAAATTCCTCTGGCGTGTTTTCGGTAGTAGGGGAGAGGAGTGAGAGACCCTGGAACATCCCCGTTCCGAGGTGCTCTTTCCCAAAAACTGGGGTGGAAAGTAGAAGTTCAGCCTCTCTGAGTCTCTGGCAACCGTTCTTCAATGAAATATGAACTCGAAAAAAAACACCAACTCTAAAAATTTCTGTAAAGCCACGCCAAGGTAATGACTTGTTGCTTTAGAAAAGAATTTTGTATAATCGAAGATCCTTATCTCGCAATAAAATTTAATGAATTGGGACATTCATCCAATCTGTGATTCTTTTAATGCGCATATTTCTTCATTCACATATTAAGAAATTAATTTTATAAATTATGTGAAATTGTTTTAATAAATTCTCCAAATGTATAATAATTTAATTAGCGGAATACTTTAGGCAGCAGTTTGCAAAGGTATGGTTATGTTCACCAAGAACATAAATAATAATTATGTGAGGTACAACTATTTTTTATATTATTACACTGAAATAAAAATATTACTCTAACAGGTATCACAATTCAAGCATCTTTAAGTATTATTTTTTAATTATATTTTTAAGATGTCTTTACCTATAATGTTTTATGGCAAAGCATTCAATGCTTATTAATTCTATTTGTGTCTTCTCAATATGTGCTTCAAAGCTATCATCTTAAAGTTTTGTTTAATATTCCCTTTTTCTTTACAGGAGCTAAATGTAGAACTTTGGACCAAATTAAGTTTAAAATTTCCCATGATGGTAAAGTTTTGATAACTTTTTATATATTTAAATATTCATTTTTTTCAGGATGAGTTTATAAAAATAATCTTGCTTTAGATTACATTTTCTAAAAAAATCTTATTTATGTCTTAAATGTTTAAAACAATTGCATTGATTATAAATCTTAAATAATCTAAGAAAAGTAAAAAATAGGAATTTTAATATTTAATATTTAGAGACGATATTTAGATATTTTATTAGGATTTAAATATTAATTCTTGGTTTCAAATAGTCGGAGGATTAAAGAATAAATTTAATCTAAAGCACTTTATCTGACCTTAAAATAAATACTGAAAATGCATAAATATGTGAATGTTATTATTTAAATGCATTTTTCTCAAAATCTATTTTTTCTAAAAACTTGTTTACTTGGTGCAAGATAAATCAAATTATTATTACTTTATTTTTATGAAACTTTGTATGCTTAATCTGTATATAGTTATCTAAGTAATGACGCATCAGAATCTTTATATGTCAAATATTTTTGAAATTGTGGGCTGTTATTAAAATAATGGTATCGTGAATTTATCGAAAATCTCATAAAAAATTTTCAAAATTCTGAATTTTTTTTTCTTTTTTTTTTTTTGTTTTTTAAGATATCCTTAAAATTCTACATCATTCCCTAGATAAAAGCATATAATTTAATATAACTTTAATATTTTTCCGTATAGAATGTTGGGCACACCAGCGGCCGAGCGGTAAAGTCGTTGAACACTGGTAGCTCGGCACGAGGTTCGAATCCCGCGAAGGGGCATGGCTGCATGGGCATTTTTGTGGTTCTCCCCATGTGTAACGTGTATACGAGCCAGTTTCACTTAGAAAGTCCTCCACGAAGGCATCCGTCCCCTTAGGCAGATAGCCCTGGTGTGCTTTGCCATAATTAAATACACCACCCTACCTTATAGAATGTTTCAAATTGTTTTTAAAATTCCTTAAAATTTCACCTATATTTAATATTTTTTGCATTATAATAACAGTATATGTTAAATTTTGATATTCCATAATTAATCTCTGTAGAAAATAAATAAAAAATTGTGTTTATAGTAAACATATACTGGTTTTTTAAAAAAAGTGCTCCGAACGGAGTCGGATACCTTGAAGTTTAAGCATATGCATAGGAAAACTCGAATATTACTTATTTTTATACTAAATTCGTGATTTTATAATATATGCTACAAAAGAGACGGCACATGTTGCTAAGCATGTATGTTGCTATGTGTACATGCTAGGATTGTAAATTAAGGCCATATTTGTAAGAAAAATAATACTTAATAATAAATATAATATAGCGAAATGAAAAGTGTCGAAATACTCTTGACCTAGTAAGCTAATAAATATGTTACTTACTTACGAAATATTGTACATATTCCACAGATAGTTTTGTTTTTCGTCGCAAAAAAGTCTACTTTGCAAGAAAACTTTGCAGCACTGAAGGATAATCCTGAATTAAAAATTCAGATTCTTAATAGTTTGTAAGGATTATGTTAATTTTATAAATAGTTAAATTTTGAGTTAAACTTCCTTTCCTATCATTTCTGAGTTTCAACTTACAATTCCGGCCAGAACGTAGTTTTAGAATCACGTTTGAACGCAAATTAAGGAAGAGCGGTATTTAACCGCAAAGTTCTGCTGTCTTAATGAGAACCAGAGATTCTGGCTAGCACGCGTCCGCCTTTTTAGGCTACTCTCTCTTAAGCTATTATTACGCTCGGCTGTACTTTAGGCCCTTGATAGCTTCGCAGTTAATCAGCTTTAAGGGGCCAACTCTGTTTATAGTTTGATAGCTTCGGCTATATCCTTTTTTAGTTAAGATTAGTTTAGTTTAGTTCTTAGTCTCTTAAGTTCAAGCCCGATTTTCGGCTTTATTGTACAACTCCAAGACGGAGTTTTGTTACACCATATTGGAATAATAAAGGGTTATTTCACCCTTCTTGCTTGTTGTTCCCTGTACCACGAGCTCAAGCGCTTATTCGCTTATCAGTTCTTAAGATGCTTCACATTCAATTGTAACTTTAAAGTACACAGTATAGAATCTTACAAGTTCCAATGAAAATTTATATCTTAAGAGTTTAATCATATCAGTATATTGAGTCTAATATCTATACTACTTTGTATAATATTAAATATTTCCTACATGATTGTTCCTTGAGATTTAAATGTTACGATGTAAGGTAAAAGCTCGAATGATCTCATATTTCTATGAGATTATAGCAGTAGATGATTACTGGAATTTCTTGGTGTTAGTAAGACTGCTAGAAGAATGGTTATATTACTAAACAAGACAAAATATCTGAATAATCTAAACTGTACATGGATGGTGTGATCATTTCAGCAAAAATTCCTTTGAAGCGGCGCCTAGAGATTTCACAAAATTATCTGCAAGTGTATTCACCACATGCATATTCTTTATACAACTGTTTTTAATAATGTTATGTGTAGAATGATAGGTATAACTCAAAATTATGTTCTGATGAATCCATGCTTTATCTTTTATGTTCTTTTCATTAAAATGTTATTTTAGAATTTCTTTTTGATCAAACAAGCAACTCTTTACGGCTGCATTTAGCTTCAGTGGTATAAATCCACAACAATCATAACACTCCTCGCAAAATTTTCGAGGTAGATATTTCAGAGGATATTTACAGCTTCAAAACGCTAGTAAATAGCCCGAGGCTTATCGCAATCAGAAAAACGTAAGCAAATACTTCAAATATGGTCACATATTGTTTCTGATCCATTATCAGGTCACAACTCATGGTTGTAGTTTGTGGACATGTATTATTTCAATGATGGCATTGACTATGATATTTTCAGGAACCCTTATACCTCTGTTCTACATTTTAAACATAACTTATAAGTCCTATTATTCGTGCTGGGATGGAACCAGAACCGATGCAGTCCCACCGGTTGCACATGCTGCCGAATTTATGAGCGGTAAAGTTTTTAGAATTTAGGAACTAACTGTGCGTCATATTTCACAATTTGCGCCGTTCTCACCAGGTGTTCAAAGGTGAAGCACTGGCCTTGTATATGTATCCTTTCTTAAAAAGAAATGTTGTTATATACCTCCAAAAATTTTTTTTTATCTTGGCCAGAGCTTCTGTTCCTTGGTCGGCTTACCAACTTCTAAGAGTAGCTTCATTTACATATTACGAAGATAGCGGTATTGCCATGGGCATAATTTAATAACTAAGAAGTTTTATTTAATTCGGGTACAACTTTACCTGAGTATCATACATTATTAATAGGTATAGATCTCCTCATGTTAAATTTTAGAATGCACATGTGAATAACTTTGTTTTCAGTTCTTTTTCTAGAGTGGCTAGCTGTAGATGGGAACCCCAGTTATTTAGCTGCAATTAAAAAATTTACCGTCGATTCACTCTTCTCAGTAAAAGTATCATCCAACTTAATCATTCCTTGATCCCATTTTAAATGTTTCTTTAGTCAAAAAAATGACTATTTGTGTTAACCATTTTTTACTCTGTTAGGTAATCGCGCTGCAATTGGTCTATTTCGTTTTCATCTCTGAATACTATAAAATAAATAATATTTAGGTATTCATTGTTTGCCTCCCTAATTGTTATTTATTTATAGGCATCATATTTGCTGTCACCATGTTTTATATTCAGTATTCATCATCAAAAATAAATTATGAAATTTAAAACTAAGGAATGATATTTAGAATTAATTTTTATTATTATATCACTCTATTTAATTTTGTTTTAGGTATTCGATGCAGCGGATGCTATGCGCTGGTGGCAAAACCTTTGTCAGTCTTGTTCGGCTTCCTCATCGCCTACATACTTATCAAAAAATTCTAGACTGATAGACAAATTTTAGTGCATCAAAATGTATCGAGCTTTTAAAATTGTTCTTCTGTATTCATAGTCCTCAGAGAAGAAGAGGAATTAAACAGCTCATCTGTTTCCATAAATGTTTCGAAGAAAACTTTTTTATGCTTAAAAAACTTTAAGAATCAACTGAATTTTTTTTAATATTTGCCCGCCATCCTTTTTATGAAAATCATTTCGCGTTACGAACTGTATAAATTTATATTTATAAAGTCTAAAAATATTGGCATTTCTTGATTGATTCATCATTTTAAAGTTAATAGTACTTCATTAAGAAGTATATTTTCTTTATATGTGTACAAATACAAACCATTTTCTTATTTTTTTTCATTCTATTTTTAATGCCTAACATCATGTGTACATATCAGAGAGTAATTGGGGCAGGGGTTGTTTACAGATAAATAACTTTTGTAACATTTTAGAAGCTTCTGTGTTTTGTATTGATTTAGATGTTTTATAATAAAAATTTAATTCTTAGAATATGTCATCAAGTGTGTTTTATTCTTCGGATTACCCAAATGTCCAAATGAGAATTTAATGTACGGAGAAATCTTTGTTCAGTACTAACCTATGGTTGAAAGAATATTTATAATTATTATTTATCATTATATAACAAAGTAATAATATTTTTAAAGTCATCTGTTTAAAAATTAAAACATCTGTCTTAAAAATCGTCTGCTTTGATTTTTTTTTATTTGCAGCTATATTTTTGATACTATAAATTATCGTCTGCTACTGGACAGTTTTGTTTTCATGCAAAATTGCATTTTTAAAGAAGCAATGAATAGAAAGTTATATTTTTGCTCCTTCCGAAAAAATTATTCGTATCTAGTTATTAAAAAACGCTGTATAAACTATGGTTTTTCGATATCTAAAGCTAAGATAGGTAATGTTATCAACAAGAAAGAAAAAAAATGGCAAAGTTTGTTTTCAAGTGGAAAACTTGTTCCAAGGAATAAACGGAACGTTTTGAATGTTGCAAACGCAAGATCTTTAATGTTAAAAGAAAATCCACCAGGTCAAAAGACAAGTGCAAAATCATTAAAATGCTCAGTGTCAATTGTAAACAAAATAATTAATACTCATTTGCTAAAAAGCTGAAGAAAACATAATGTGCATCGTCTTTTTTTCCCACATATCGCCAAAAGCAGAACGCGCCACATAGTTATTTATGAGAAACATTTATCTGGACAGAAATGGAAAAATGTTGTTACGATAGCCGAATTCTGGGTATATTTAAATGACTGCTATAAAAAGAGATACAATTATTACCATCAAAAAGGAGGGGAAAATCTTAAAACATGGTTTAATGAATCTCATGGTTTTTGAAAAGTGGATTGTTTAACGTCTTCCTACAACACTTCTTGGACTTTGGAAAGCTGTTCAAAAGGAATGGAATAAAATACCTCTTTCGATTCTATGAAAGGCTTTATTGTCTTGGAAATTGCGGTGCAAAAAGATAGTGAAGAATAAGAGTTAACAAATAGAACAATCAAAACACAAAACGTTTAGGAAAATATTTCTTTAACTACTATGAAGATCGTCTACAAAATGTGTGAACATCCTCTGCACTAATCTGAATAATTTCTAGTTAAGGGATAATTATCTTTCAAATATATAAAATAATTCCAATTTAAAACTCTCCTTTTTTACTTCCTCGTTTGAAGTAAAAAGGAAGTATTGTAATCGCGAAAATTTTCAGGCATCATATTTCAACGAAAATACCCATTTTCATCGCTATGGAATGCAATTTAACGATTTTTTTGCGTGACATCTTTACGTAAGAACAGAATAAAGGACATTTTTTCCCCAAACGATTATAAAACTGATTAAAAATGATCTGTAAAGAGAGTTTTTCGTGGCGTCTGTGCGTGTGTACGTATGTACGTACGTATCTCGCATAACTCAAAAACGCGTAGGCTCAGAACTTTCAAATTTTGTATATAGGATTGCTATAACATGTAAATGTGCACCTCGTATTTTGGTTGCTATCGGCCGCACCAAAAGTATCCACTCTGTTACTCGGCTCAGTGATCTCAGTTTCTTTATTCTTACATGTTTGTAAATTGTGCATTTTTTTCCTTTAAAAATGATTAAATTATGTTTTTTTTATCTTCCGGTTAAGATTTGTATGCTTTTAGTATATCTGCATGCAATATTTGTAGAATTATCTTCAATTTAAAAGTTGTTTAAGTGCGACTAAGTCTGATTTTTTTTTTTTTTTTTGCCATGGCGGCCATATTTGTTTACATTTGAAACAACAGAATGGTGGATTTGTTGCCAATCTAGAGAAAGTAAGCTTCGCAACAACAAAGATAACGCCTTCTTTCGTTATTGCGAATTAAATCATGCTTAATCCATTCTGGAATTGATTCCAGGAAATAAGTGTTTAAGATTTACTTCGTAATTTTTAATATACATACCTTGAGATTTTTTTATTTTTGCCTTGTCGCGAAGTGAGAATTAATTGAATGAGAAATACTGAATTGTGTGTGGAAAACTGTTTTTTTTTTTTTTTCTTTTGGGGGGGTTTGCTTAATATCTTTTATAAATCGTTTTAGATTTATTATAGTATTTGAATAGAACATATGGCAACAACGATTAGATAATTCTTCGAATGATATAAATTTTGTGCATTCTGAGTTATAATGTGAATGAAATGTAACGCTGTTAAGTGAACCTAGCGCCAGAGTGTAGCTATGGTAAACAAATATAGTGAATTTTAAAGAGTGCATTTATTCTGTTGTGGTTTATGCGCTATCGGCGAAGCAGATTTAATTCAATCCAATAAGTTTAAATGATATGCAAGAAAAAATGCGTATAATTTATTATTCCATGCAACGAAGTCATGTGGTGTACACATCAGTCTTTGCATTAATTCTGCATTATTACGAAATGTAAAGCTTTTGAAGAGCGCGTTCGCGTTGTTGTTCCCAAATTAAGACTAGGACAAAGATAATTCTTATCTTATAATTCTAAAGTAATATTATTAGCATAATTTCACTTCAAAATGCGAACTAAATCAGTTTCGTCCGCCCATAAGAAGCTCTAGCCAGGATCCCTATTATATGTTATTCACAAAACTAATAATAACTCAACCTCAAATGCAGAGTGGCGTTCAGCTTACATTAAGAAACATAACCGATAACATCTGCTGTGGAAGCTTGGAAGTGTGACGGTTTTCTTTTTTGAAACATATCAAAAAAAATGTTTCTGGATCACGTGACAGTTTTGAAACGAACTCTCAAAATAAACCGAGGTGTCGTATCTCTTTTTCTTTCTTTCTTTTTTTTTTTTTTTTAGCAAAAAGAAGATTATTTCTAACGGTATTATTTTAAACATCCCTTTGATTCATTATGAATTTAACTACTGTACTAATACACACTTAAACATGGAGTTTCGGTTCAGTATTAAGTTTATGTTTCTGAGGAATTCTCTAAATTTTGACAGGACTTACTGTCGCATATATTCATCGTTTGTTACCTTCAAGCTGATTTTGGTTACTGTTTGTAAACAAGCTAAAAATAAGGATCTGTTTTTAGCAATAATTCATGTTTTTTATGTTTTTTAGAGCTTTAAAATTATTTTAAAGTTGTGTTACACGCATGAAGAGTAATATGAATCATTTCTATGACGAGAATGTTTATAAATAATCTAACAAACTTAATGTTCCAATGAAAAAGCTTATTTTCATTATCGAGGTAACGTTTCACTCTGCTAAATTACTTCATTAACACTTTTACCTGTAGCTTTTTCTTATTATGCGAAATAAGTTTATTTTTTTAAGTCATGCTAAACCCGTAATCGAACATAGCATTTCTTTACACAATACCTAGTAAATTTTTTTCGTAAAATAATGAACCTGAAAACTCTGCAAACATTTTATGCCTCATCGTGTTTTCGATATCGGAATTAATTCAACAGCTGTTGATCAACAACTGTTCATAATAAATATTGTTTTAACAATTACGTATATCACTTCAAATAATACAAAATGTGTAGCTATCGTTTTTGTTTATATCTTACCTTGAATTTGGAACTAAGATTGTATCAAATCAAAGCCTCCCTGCTCTCTATTTTTCAACAATTATTGCGAAAGGTTTTCTAAGGAAAATGTAATTATTACACCGTGACTGTAGAGCTCACAAGCTCAAAAAATGAAAGCTTCGTTTTGAAGTCTTAATGCGTATTTAATTTTCTAGAAGCATAATTAACAGCATTATTAGTTATTTTTTCTTTTGAAAATTTAGTTTTTCAACTCAATCCAAAGAAATGCCTCCCAGTATGAGAGCATTTCTGCAAAAGATTCTTTCCTGTGCTCTCCTTTAATTTTTTTTTATTAAAATTTTTTAAAACAGTAATTATTCAAACTTCTCCTGAGTTCACACCATTGATATCTGGCTATCCTTCAAAGTAAAAGTATTGATTAAACTACACAGACTGATAAGGAGAACAAAAAATTTTAGATCCATTGATTTTGTCCTAATTTTGTACAACTGTAGAGGATCTTAAAGTGAACGTATCTGAAAATGCCTAGATTGAATGACTCAAAAATCAACGAAGTTAAAATTATAAAAACATTATACAGTACAAAGTCCGAGATTTGAACGTCCAATATCCGGCATGATCTAAAATCCGGACCTTAAAGCCACCAACAACTTTTTTTCTAAGAATGATTTTTGTATGTTTTACGCATGCGCATTTGATCCCCCCCCCAGAGTTCCGATTCTTAATTTCTCTTCGGCACTAAATACCTCGTTATTTAAGAAACAACCATTTTAGCATAAATTTGTGTGATCAATAATTTAGATCCCTGCGTATCTGCTTAGCATACATCTCAAACCGAAACATTCTATATATAGAAATCGTTGATTTTACACCACTAGTACACTTTTTTTGCAAAAAAATCGAAGCACCATGAAGGAAGAGGTTGTTTCTGATGAAATTGAATATGTGTATAGCTCATACATAGATAATAAAATGATTAAAAAGACAAATTCTTAGTACTGGTTCACGGCTCACAATCACCCATTGAGTTTTCAAATTAGTAGTTGGACGAACCCATGACGGTAATGCATGCTTGAATTCGTCGAGGCAAGGAGTGGTAGAGGTTCTTAATATCATCCTGCGACACATTATGCCAAGCCTTCATCAGTTGTCGCTCCAGATCTGCGATATTTTGTGGTGCCCGAATCTGGCAACCTACCATGTCCCAGACATGCTCGATTGGTGAAAAGTCTGGTGATCTTGCTGGCAAGGGAAGAGTATCAACCACACGGAGACAGTCCATAGATATGCGAGCGTTATGTGGCCTAGCATTATCTTGTCGGAAAATGGCCCCAGGATGACATGCCATGAAGGTTAAGGCAACCGGCCGCAGGGGTAGTATCAACATATCGTTGAGCTGTTAAAGATGTACGGAGGATGACTAAAGATGACCTGCTGTCATAAAAAATAGCGCCCCACACCATCACACCAGGGATTATG